TCCTGTTTTCATGTAGCTGCATACGAAAATCTCACTTGTACGAAATAGTTTATCCACACGATATTATGTTGTTTTCTTCGCGCTCATCCCTGTCATCGACTGTTTTTACCCCTAAGGTTGTCAAGATTGAGGTGATTGAAGCTCGCCCTCGAGCGATGATGGGTGTCGGCATAAGCACATGTGTACTGATGAGCAGGAAGAGATGGTCTTGAGACTAGTAGTTGACCCAGTTCAAGGCTACCGGTCAGCAGCTGTACAAATAACAGCGCAGCGCAGCACAGCGCCTCAAAGAAATGCTGGCAGAAATGTAATTTATGTCTACATATACATTGTACATTGAATTTGTAGATTGTTTGTATGGACTAGGTTAACGATATGCACCACCTGTATGAAAGAAAGAAAAAATGCAAAAAAGACATGAACTTGACGACTGCAAGAAAAGGTTTGGATAGCAAGTTCAGCACGTAAAGTTCAAAGCTCATGACTGAGGATTATCCTCCCCACCCTATACTCCGTCCGTGGCCCACTCGCTCCTAAGACGCATTCACTCGAATATCCGAAAAATCAGGAAGCTCATTCTCCACACACCCATCCACCTCCTTCTCCCTCTCATCTCCACCATCAGCAACATACTGCATAAGTTGCCTACTCCCCCGTCTCGGAGGTGGCGACAGCGCCTTTATCTCTGGAGCACTTGGGAGGCGTTGTGATGGACGGAGCGAATTACGTGGTGAAACCGTCGGAAGCAAGATGTGTGTGCTTTGCGATAAGAAACATGGATCGTTCTGCATCGTTGTTATGGGGGTACCTGGGAGGGGAGGCGTTGGGGGTCGGGAATAGGTGGTGCTGCTGGTGCTGGCCCTGCTGGTAGGGCTCCTGCTCCTGCTCCTGCTCCTACTCCTACTCCCCCGACCGGGCACAGGTGTAATAATTACGGGATGCGCAATTTGGTGCGGTGTGAGATCGGGATCAATATCGTGCGACGCGATGACAGGGGGCGGAGACGACGGAGTACTGAGAATCCGCAGACGCTGCTTGATAGACATACTCCGTACAGAAGCGGCGCTATCAGGACGAGGAGGAATTGATGTCGATATTGATGATTCTACGCTGTTGCGGTATGCAGGTTCATCTGGACGCGGTGGAAGGACACCCGAAGGTGGTGGACGAGGTACCGTCAGGCTTAGCCTCAACGCGCGCTGAGCTACAGACGTTCTGAACAGCGTTTTATGGGACTGTGGCTGGGATTGGGGCTGTTGTTGTTGCTCAGGCGCAGGAGGAGGCGCAAAGCTCGGAGCAGGACGCGGAGGAGGCATCGAGCGGCGTTTACTCCCCACACCAATACTTCCACCACTACCACCAAGACCTATACCAATCCCTGAACCAAGAGACCCAACCGTACTCGTCCGCTGCACAGACCCAGACCTCACACTTACACTACTCACAGTACTCGACCCACTCGTCCTCTTCCAAAATGCGGTACTAGGATTGTCAGAACCTGCACTAATAGGACTCACACCTTGCTCAGACTCGTGTGGAGTTTGTGGCGTCAGGGGTAGCGGGCCACTGGGGGGCGTTAACCGCTTCGGGAGGGTGCGAGACCACCGACGAGAAGGCGCGAGGGATGAAGCTGACGAGCCCGATCTTTCGATAGTGGAAGTTGTTGTGGAAGTTGTTTGCACGGATAGACGTGCTGGGTTGAGCATGGGGGTGATGGAATGTGGGGTGAATGAGGTACCTGAGCTGTCCTCGGTCACGGTGGAGGTCTGCACGCTAGGCGTAGTGCTTGTGTCCATTTGCTGGCATGGCGCGTCTGCGAGTGGCTGCACGGATGTCTGCTTCTTGCACCGCGGGGGCGGGTGGAGAGAATGCGAATGCGAATGCGAGTGTGAGTGTGAATGCGAGTGAAAAGGCGTGTGCGACAGAGGTGCAGTCGTAGACGACGGAGGAGCCCACCGTTCATCTTCTTTGACGATCTTTAGATCACAAGCGGGGATACCGTTGATGCTCGTGCAACACATGCTCGAGCAGCACATGCTCGAGGTCCCGCCTACACCATTAGACAAAGTCCCGTTGTGGATGCTCCCGTTTGGCTGGTGCACAAAGAATTCGTCGGGCCCTGACGATGCCATGCTAGGTACAGGCGACTCCCGGCGTATCGGTGAGCTGCTCCTCTTGGTGCTCATGCCCACGCCGGTGATACCCATTAAACTGCTCCCCACCGTCCCAAAGCTCTCTTCTGCATACTCGCTTTCGCGCTCATGTCCGTGTCCATTGAGAGACAAGGACGGCGAACGAGAGCGAGGCGTGAACATGCCTTTGATGGTTTTGGTAGTAGACGTCGAGGATTTGGAAGTAGACGTCGAGGATTTGGAAGAGTGCGTTTGGGAGAGCAGGGCTGGGGAGATGTTGCCTGAGCGCTTGGTTTGGAGGCGGATGGATGGCGTTGGGGAAGAGGAACCGGAGTTTGGGCCGGAGCGAGAGCCAGATCTATGAGCGTTAGGACTGTGGCTTTGGGATTTCTTAGTGGATCTGATGCTTGATGAGCGCGTGAAGGGATCGGTGGGTACAGGTGGGTTGGGTGTCGAGGACCTTGTGTGCGGTTGGGAACGCATGACCTCAAGCGATAAGGAGCCTCTAATTGGGGATGTAGGCTGTGATAGTGGGAGGGAACCTGCCAAGACGGGTGGAGAAGATGATGATGTACGGGGTGACGAAGCTGCGGGTGACATAGGATATGTGGCAGAAGATAATGATGCTTGGAGTCGCATGGAGAGCATGACATCCATATCCCCGCGGGGTTCATGCCCACTGAGGTGGGGTGATGCAGTGAGACCTGCGCGCATGGATCTGGAGAGGGGTATTAAAACCAGGACCCAGCGACGCGACACAACTCACCTTTGGCCCAAGACAATTGCCTTTATGGCACCAATCCACTTCTGTCTCTCACTCGGATCTTGCATCTCGAAATGCCAAATAATTTCGCCTTGCTCAATAGCAACGACTGAGCCATTTGACTTGCCTCCACTGCCTCTCGCTCCGCTCCTGCTTTCGCGTTTGCTGAGGGTGCCAGTCCGAGTGGAGTTCATACCAGGCCCGGATTGCTCTGTGACGTAGATGGCAGTGTCTTGGGTTATAGGTAAGCGCTGAAGCTCCGAGGATGACGGGATATTTGATTTGAAAAGATGGAGGTGTGTGACTGTCTGCGACGCGGCCGAGGTCGCAGTCGTGAGGACTATAGATCTTGTCTTCCATTGCTTTGCGAGGGCATAGACTAGGAGGGAGGATGAGGGACAGAATTTTGGGAATGTACCTGTGAGTGTGATTCGTGAACTGAGGGAGGCAAGGTTTGTGGGGAAAGGCGGGAGATGGGGTAAGAGTGTTGGAGTTGGTGAGGGTATGGGTGATGGAGGTACAAGAGGAGGTTCAGATATAGGTGAATCGATGGTTGCTGATGGGGGCACTTGGTCCTCCTCTCGGGTATCCTCTGGGTGTTCGCTGGTAGGATAGTCGACGAGACCGATACTCTGAGCAGCAGCATCTCTGAGTCTCTCTCGCTCCTCTTCCTCTTGGACATAGGAATATGGGCGGGATATTTCCATAACGCCTGGCATGACGATTGGATGAGTATATTGAGAAACATGACTAGAGTGACCAGGTTTTTTGCGAACGAGAGATAATAAGAGGGAAGTGCGCTGTTTTTTTGGAGATATGGGCTTTGGTATTGGCTTTGGTTGTTGAGGTGCAGGATACAAGTAAGGATATCTTGTAGATGATTCATTAGATGAAATACTAGTTGACCCATTGACAGTGAAATTGGGTAACAGCGCTGCAGCTGAGTCTTGGTCTAAAAAATGTAAGTTCAGGCTTGCGAGTCAGGTCGACGTAACATACCATAAGGAAATTCGACATGATCAACATATGATTCCTTTTCCTTCCCTTTTGGTTCTCGAGCTAGACTCGAACGCCTAGTATCCCCGAAACTGCGTGGTGACTCAGTGAAGAAATGAATTGGCATCGTGGCCCGCGATTCGAGCGTCGTCTGAGCGGAAAGCGACTGAGAAGGACGATGGCGACGACGTCGAGCGACAAGGAGTGACGGGCAAGTTTAACGTGGCAGTCAAATTCGAGTCAGGGCGGTGATTGACACAGGTCAGAAATCACACTTCCATCGCAATGTCAACACAAATCACAAACCTTGCTCCACGGATTCATCCATTCTATTGACGATGGCGACGGCGACGAGGACGACGACAAGGGTGGTGAGCTCATGAGTTCAACGATAAAATGCACTTGACATAAAATTGTATGCTACTTATGACATATCCTGTCATGTTTCACGTGCATATAAAACACCACCACGGCTGTCAGCAAATAATACGGCTTACACCCCGGCCATCTAGCAAAGTCGGAAGGAAACGGAACTCCTCTGAATCATGATCATCAACTTGGCGGTGCCGAAGCACCCATCTTGCACACCGCAATGCACAAAAGCCTACCCACTCTTAGCGCAACTCTAGTCTTCACTTGACTACATCCAGTTTAGTTCAGGTCGTAAGACCAGTACTAGTGCCAGTATCATGCCAATCAATCGTGTTGGTAGGCTCACCCAATGACAAGTGTCTGGACTCCAATTCTAACGCTTCAAATTGCACTGCATGCCCATTCGTACGTTATTAGTTCTTATCATCATTACGCCCTACTGATACACCTAGAATAGTCCGCTTCTACCACACCAGTTACTAAAGATATCACCTTATGATCATCTTCTGGCACGAGGACTACTGCCTTCAAGTCAACTTCTATGATGATCGGCTACATTGTAGCACAGCTTGTCGAGACTTTGTTAATATTTACACCATTTAACGTTAGCTGTCATGTGAGAGCCGTCCTGTCGCACCTGAGGCCTGAGGCCTGAGCGGTCAGCCGCCATACCTCCAAATCACCAGATTCTTGCCACCGAAAATCGTTATACAGATATCACCGTATCCAAGTCCAGCATGTATTACATCGTCGGCCTCGCTAGTATTCTTCCATCATCCGCCCAAACTGTGGAAGGACTCGCCGTATTTACCACCTTCCGACAATTCCAATATTCTTTATCTCGCACGCGTACAATTGCCACAGTCGCCAACGTGGAAGCAGGTCCCGTCCGTATCACCCCAACTTCTTTCATTGGCAAGATTATAACCCCAATACACGCTCTCTCCATCCTCCTCCCACCCGTGACATATATCCTATGCGTCGCCTTCAACCGCTTCGCGCAGCCTGCGTGGATGCAGTGCATGAGCCTTCCTGATACCTATTTCAAACACGAAAATGAAGTAGGGCTGAGAGTCGCAGCATGCGCAGCGACCTTTATGGTCATCAGGTTCAGCGCACGCGTACTTACGCACCTTGGCAGTCAGTGGCACCCGATTGGGGTACGTACTGTCTTCTTTCACACGTGAACAAGACATAAACTCGCTGGTTCTCGCCAGAGACGCGAGCAGTCCAGAATCGTGCAAACAGGCCCATACGCGGTAGTGCGTCATCCGCTGTACACGTGAGTCTCTTGCGTCATCTACATGGGTGAGATGGGATTGAGTTCTGACGTCCCCCTTATGACAGGAGCGCGCTCATCCAGGGATTACTTTTTACGCTGATGACCTGGTCTTATGCGCCGCTTGTAGGAATAGGTATCACTACTGGCGCGTCTGCTGTCAAGCTGCTTATCGAGGTGGGTATCTCGTCCGAGTCTTTATGTTACTATATACAGTTTGCTTTCAGGAAGATCTTATTATGCAAGACCCTGCTGTTGCTGAGGAATACCGTGCGTATATGCACAGAGTGCCTGCGCGACTTGTTCCGTTCCTTTGGTGATATGTCGTTAGAATCCGAGGAAACAAAATTATTGTGGTATGCTTGCGGTCTTGTACAAGTTATCGTGTGTCATCGTTTGACGTATTGATCTAGATATGCGCGTGATGATTCAAACTACTTGGAGTGGCACTAGGTCTTAGCATGTCAACGTTGTTCAACACTCGACTTCATACTCGTAAATCTACAGATGACTCGGATGATCCATCTCGTCGTAGTCGCTACTGGCAGTAGTAAGATCAGGAACTCCTAGAAAAGGATGCGCAAGCCAATCCAAAGCCTTTCGCGTACTAGTAGTAGAGCTTTTCAAGGCATCCATAGCTCAAAGATTATCGCAGATGGTATGAATTTTGATGATGTGTCATCTAAAAACCCTTATCATCCACAGTATTTTTGTTGTTGTGTTTTAGGAATTGAGAGTGATTTATAAAAGCTGGAGAATGGTTCAGTACTTGAGTGGTCACCGGGGATGTTCGAGTAACTTGGGGAGGCCGGTGACCGGTGGCCCCTCGGCCATTCGTGCGCTGAGTGGTCTGTCGCGAGCGTGTTGACTCCAGGGGCATCACCTCGTCGGGCCAACTTGAATGCACACCCGGCAGAGTGCAGCCAAGACATTCGAGGACTTTGGTGAAAGAGAAAACAACGAGCCACAGCTTCAACAGGTAAGTTTACTGGTTAAGGTGTCATGGATGAGTCTGGAGTAACGATCACAATTGATAGGAAATTTATTTTTTGCTGATCAATATAAAACGAACCTCGAATACTTTGTCCCAGTGAGAATCGACAAGAAAGTAGATATATCGAGATCGAAAAAAATAAGTCCTATAAGAATTATGAATGACTTTCGATCGATGTCTTGAGAAAGATAGAGATCGAGAGGAGCTTTTGGTTTATTGATAAGTTTTCGTTGATAATACTTGAGTTCATCCGGCGCAGTTACAGTAAACTGTTCCCTGCTCCGGACCCGTGGTTGTCGTGTTGTAGTCGGCGAGGGATATAGCCACGGGCTAACTTAAAACACATGGTAATGCTTGTATCGAAGCCGGGGTCGCAGCGGCATGGCGGGCGGATGGGAAGACGGGCGTGGTTCAAACGTGGGAAACTCGTTGTGATCTAGACGCCTAAATCCCTTTTCGGCTCGGAAATGACCGAGACAGGGTCCTCGACTCCTCGGTGTCTCAACGTGCCAAAGGCCACGAGATTCAACTCAACTATCATTACCATCCAGAATAAAATGTTCAATGACGCAGTACACCCTATCGAATGGTCTGTTAATCATCATCACAGAAGCCGGCACAAACACAACAGCCTGCAGAACTCAACTTTGACTGTCAGCGATGAATAGGCCTTAAACTTCAAGCTTCAAGTTGGTGTCCTGGCTTGCGATGGACAAGGAAGGGGCTGACAGCGGGGTATAGTCAGAAATTGCCAATGTGGGGGCAGTGACAGTGACGAAAGAGACTTAGCCTATCAGAGTTATGACTCTCATCTTGACGGTCCCCTTACGAGTGAGTGGCCCTACTACTTAGACCCATTGTCGAAACTCGTTTTTTGTTCTTTCGCTGTAAGGTTTCTACATTTTTGCACTGCCAGGATGGGACACAGCAATTCTACTGCCACGTCAGGCTTTTCTATTGTCCCGGCGGACTACTCTTTGCTCTCATGCTCGGAACCGATTGCAGCCGAAGCTATGTCAGGCGAGCCCCTGTGTCGCAGGAGTTACATACATAATTTGAATCCATAAATGAGTGGCATCCCTAAGGTGCTTCACCTCAACCATGAAGCATGCCATCGATACTCAGACGATCTCGTCGGCGTGAATTAATACTCACGAAGTCATTCAAGAACGCGATTCAGGAAAAGGTTCATCCTCTTCAGTAAGTTTTCCTTCACCATCACTGATATCTCCCTGACTATGTCCCAGGCGCTCTCCAGAGTCAATATACTGCAGTTCATCCGTCGTCGATCGCACCAATTTTCCTTCCTCGCCATCACCTTCAAAATCCCCAGACTTCGCTCGCCCTTCTCTAACATTATCTCTATACCGTAGTCCGATCTCCAACCTCCAACATCATCCCATTCACACCCTCCCTCCAGAGCTTCTCATTCGCGTATTTGAGCTGGGCTCGTTTGATGATGCCTTATTTCTTATCACGATTTCGCATGTCTGCCACCCATGGAGGATGCTTGCGATACACACGCATACCCTCTGGCGGCGCCTGTCGTTTGATTCTCATGGATTACGTCTGTGGAAGGAACGCATAGCCCGCGCCCGTGGGTGTTCCCTCGACATTACAATCACACCTCCGCAGCACCGTTTTCCCGATATAGACGCGTTAGCCCTGCAACTGCATCTTATTGTCCCACACATATCCAGAGCCCGCTCCTTTGAGCTGCGGTTCTCAAGTTACTCGCCGTTCCTATGGAACACTGCCCTCGGCCCTATATGCCATCAAGAGCAACGGGACAATGATAGCATGGGCGCACATACTTGTGCTCCGTTTGTGCACGCGCTGCGACTGGAGAAACTTACTCTCTGTTTTCCAGAGAATGATGACTCAAAGGAGTTTGGTCTTTTCGCAGGCGTTGCGCCTCGGTTGCATCACGTCACGCTTGATGGCATTCGCCTGACCTGGCTGCCAGGGCTTTATGGACGCCTCACACATCTCGACTATACTCATCACGGATTCACAACTGGATCAATCGCCGTAGGTGAAGTTTTAGGGATGATTCGAATTTCATGCGCACTGCGCGAGCTTCGCATATGCTTTAGGAGAAGAATGCTGGATGGAGAAGTTCTGTGCCTATCTCACGACGGTGTTCCTGCAGGACAGATTCACCTTCTGCAGCTCGAGCGGCTTGTTCTTGCTGTCGACAAATCGGATATCAACATACCTCCCGAACTTACATCACTCTTGTCCCGCCTTTCTGTACCCAACCTTCGCGAACTACATCTGGTTGACCTTCGCTGTCAACCCGCTAATAGACGCTGGTGGAAGTCAGCGCCATTTCCCGGACTCAGAGCCGCCCTGAGCCTTTTTGAAGTCACAATACCATCCAGCATCAAGGTTCTGGCGATGGCGGGTCGCTGGGCAGATCACTCCTCCATTCTTTCCCTCGCGAAACGTTTCAGAGAACTTCGCAATTTGGAAGTGGATGGTGTTGAAAAGGACCTTGTTCACATGTATTGCCTTAGTGGAGATTTGCCACTGCATGATGGAGCGTGGATATGATGAGCAATATACTTCCCCCCCCCCCTTCTCTGCCCCGTTCTTTTGCACCAGTGGATGGGATTTTCACTTTCCTTACAGGATCTACACGTGAGTCAAGTTTAGGGAACTAAATAACTATTTGCGGACTCCCGCCACCTGTCTTCCTGATGGGGATTTTCCGCACACTCTTGACCAATACACGCCTTTTGTCTTATCAGGATTACCTACATACTGAAACTGGAGACTGCCGTGGACCAACCGCAGGCCCGTTCATTTCGCCATTCTTTCAAGAAATCCCCGTGTCCATCGCTGCTGAAACTATGTTCGGCCAACCCGGCCTGTTCATTCTGTCTCTCCAACATGGTCCGAATGCATATCACCCTAATGTGGATTTCATCGGTAAGAAATGGGTGATCTACTACTACAGTGAACGATGGAAAAGGGATTGCTTTTCCTCATGACGAAGACGCGAGAATGTTGGTAGTCACAGTGGTTGCTGAAGTCGAGCTTGCTCAACTCGATGGTATCGAGACCCGGAACCCTGTTTGGGGTTGCACTGCATAACTGGTATCCTGGCTGGTCAGTTGTACGTGACTGCGCAGTCTGCGTCGATATGAATCTGAAATTGTTAAAGGAGATTTCACCAGCCTGAGGTAGCTCAGGGATTGGACCGCAGTCTGTGTATATCGGAATGAAGACGGAACGACTGTCTTCGTTAGGGCACCCGAGTTGAAGATTAGTCAGCGGATGGCTCTTGCCATAGTGGGGCCCCGGGATCGGGGCCGTCAAGACAAATTCAACTCCAATGAACCTAGTGGCATCGTGGCATGACTTCCTTGTAACTAATCTTTTTTATTCCGTTCCAGTATAGCTTTGACTAATTGTTTATTCAACTTGGGCCTCATGGTCACTCAAGCGGTTAATTATCTCACCATGTGCTGGCCTTGCATGATTCGACGTAACGTGCAGGTCTCGCTACGACAAATCATTAATGCATTTGTGACCACTTACAGCCGCACACGTACAATAACACACGTCTATTTTACATCACCGGGTGCAACCTTAGTATATAGTCCACGTACCCGTTACATTTCGATTCACTCATCCTTCTCGATCAGACTCAGGTGAGACTCTTACATCTGTTCCGTACTCGATCAAACTTACCAGCCCTCGTTGTTCTCTCGCAGGTACTTACTACGGTACTAGAATCCTCTCTCTCAAACTGAGTATCTTGTTAATCTCTTGCAGCCTCATTTCATTGCTTGTATCACCATGTTCTCTCCTGATAGTTATACGTTGAAGAAGCTCTACGATCTCACTGGCCTGATCGCACTAGTGACCGGTGGTGGTACAGGCATCGGCCTTAATATTGCACGTGGCCTCGCTGCTAATGGGGCCAAGGTGTATATCACCGGCCGAAGGAAGAATGTTCTTGATGGAGTAGTTGCGGAGTGGAATACAACCAAGAGTGACGACATGGGACTTATGATCGCGTGAGGTCTATTCCTTATTCTCGTTTCGTACGGGCTGATCAAGCACGACGTAGACAAGAGATGGATGTCACGAATAAGGACAGCATTAAAGCTGGTGTGACGAGAATATCCCAAACAGAGAGAAGGCTACACATTCTCGTGAACAAGTATGACATCTACTCTCCCTATTTTATCGTGACTTATGGTCGAACAAAGTGCTGGCCAATGTGGTCCTGTCTCTGATGAACTAAATCAGCCATCGACTACTGCTCAAAAGGAGGCCGGACCACTTAGTGAATACCTCTTCAACAATGAATCGTTCGAGGAGTGGGGCTCCCTTTTCGCCATTAACACATCTTCGATCTACTTTGTGACTATTGCGTTTTTGGATTTGCTCGACAAGGGCTCTAAGGATACCGGTAAAGAAGGGTTCTCTTCAAGCGTCATCAATATCACCAGTATCAGCGGGCTCATAAAGGTCGCACAGAGACATGTGAGTAAAGCCACGGTCGCGTTCGTTTATCAACACTGACTTTGATTGACAAGTTCTGCTACAACAGCTCAAAAGCTGCTGCATCTCACCTGACCAGGATGCTTTCGACAGAATTTGCCCTGAAAGGAATCAATGTTCGAGTGAACGCCATCGCGCCAGGCGTGTATGAAAGCGAGATGACATATGACAATATTACAGGGCAAGCTGCAACTGATTCGGTTGGTATGCCGGTGGTGCCGGTACCAGCAAAGAGGCCGGGGACGTGAGTGAAGCTTGATCCGCGGACTAGCGCCTTTACTGACAGGAAAAATGAACAGCGGAGCTGAAATGGCAGGCACTGCCGTGTATCTTGCATCGCCTGCTGCGGCATATATGAATGGGCAGGAATTGGTTATTGATGGTGGATACTTGGCTGTGAATCCTTCAAGGGTGTAGTATGCTGTTGGTCGGCGTTGCCTCATGAGTTGTTTTTTTTGGTTATCTTGTAGCAGATGAACAGGCATAGATGTAGCATATTTAGCATTCTCCAAGGTTTTGGTCGTCTACATTTTGAAAATTTGTGCATGCGCACCAAAATTAACTGGTTGGGGTTTCCCCCTTGGCCAGACCATAAAGAAGGAATACGTTCGTTCCTTCTTGATTTCGAATTGCAGTGATAAGTGACACACTCAACAGCCAACTACAGGCTTATCTGTGGAGTAAAGGGTCGTGTGAACAAGTATTGCACCGCTGTATCAATCCTGAACAAATCAAATGCAGTTATCCGATCTTGAAGGATCCCGGGCCCGTATTCGATGAAGTCCCATCATCATTGAAGCACGCGGGTCCCAGTCACCTGAATTGGTAGCACAAAGCAGTGTCAGATCTTGGCTCATCATTGCGGTAGACTGAGTCTAACCGTCGATCGTGAACGTAGAAGCAGGAGCAGGTGATTAATTGACCACACCCGGATTCCGGAAGGATGACTGATCCTGGTAACAAGCATTAAAAATACTTGCACTAGCATTGATCATTGTGATCACGGTAGTGCACTTGTCCCTGGCATTACCACCAGGACCTCTGCGTGCACCGGCGTTGGAGGCAAGTTGATAGTAAACGTCAGTGAACTGAAGTGACGTTGGTCGCCGGTCGGGGACCGTCCCGTGACGGTCATGGCCAGGCGCCATTATGATTACGTCAACAATTACATATGAGCGTCTGTTCATGTCTTCCTTTTCAACACGGTTGACAACTGACATTGACTTTGAATTGCTGAACACAGTGAGCGCTACGGTTGCAGCTGGTGATAATACCCAAGTTTTCAATACTAATCATCTCCGTATAGGCGTATCGTTTCTTGAGCTATTCGGAATTTCGCGTCAGCTCCGCAATTGCCAATCGCCGTGTCATCGTGATTGAGGAGTCGCACTGTGTAAAAAGCCATTCATCGTGAACTGCATATTGCGACTTTGCAATGTCATCTTTAAACTCGGTCAACGCTAGAATCAGCACCAGCCATACACAAGACGCAAAAGAGAACTCTGCCAATTCGTCTGGACATGATGATGAGACCAGGAACGTTGACTCGCGGTCTTCGATAGACCATGGCATGAGCCGCGTTGAATCACCAGCCCCAATCTCACCTCCCGGATCTCCACTCAGGACACCGAGGACTACCCTCCCTGACACACCATCAAGCCGTACAGGACCACCACGCTCCTTATCATTCACCTTCTCCCACCGCTCTTCATCTATGTCGCGTCAAATTATTGGCAATAGTCAGCAAGAATACAGTGATATCTTTGAAAATGATTTAGAACGTGGCAAAACCTCGTTTCAAATTAATTCAAGTTCGTCAAGTTTTCGCGGTGCGCTTGAGATTAGCCCTTCTCTGGGAAAAGCGACTACAGATAAGAAGGGAAAAGCAAGAGAAAGCAGAGTTTTGGATCAATCCCATGATTCACCATTAGATGATAGGTCGAATTCGATGTTCCCAGAACATTCTAACACAATAATTGAAGAGGAAGAAGAGAAGACAGAGAGGAAACCCATGTCTCGCCATAAAACAATAGGACCTGTTCGCAAGCCCACAGATCCTCCCCCTCTGGATCTCCAGCGTTCTCAATCTCACCCTCCCCAAATAGATCACAAGAAGCCAGGAACATCCGCAAAATGGAACAAATTACGTAGTCTCCTACCTTCTGTCATTCGTGCTGGGCAACCTGGCATTCCTGCACTACACTCCGTGGTCACCTCACACGAGGTGAATATCACGGATGAACTCATTACGGGCGGTTTGTCCACATTGATGCTGCGTTTGTGGTTTGAACACGACGAGAAGGGGCATCGGCGCATCCCTATCCTCCTCCATCGTCTGCGCATACGGATTAGTGACAGTCTACATCCCATGCAAGCGCATAAAGCTGTGTTTCGTATCGAGTGTGAATATGCCAACGGCGCAGTGCGTTGGGTGGTCTACAGGCAGCTTCGTGATTTCCTTTCCATGCATGCCCATTACACCGTATCCAATGCGTTCAAAAGTCGAAAGGATGTATTGCCAGAGTTTCCTCGAACTAGTAAGAGTTGTGCATTTGTCGATGTTTGGAGATACTCAGCTGTTGTACAGGTCTTCCTTACTTTAAATTTTTGAAGAAGGAATCCAGCGGGCGTCACGTCAGACAAACTGATTTTGCTCGTTTGCAACGAGAAGCGCTAGAGGACTACTTGCTTAAGCTTATACGCGCTGTTGTTCGTCTGTTCTCCTATGCCGTAATTACCCTTCACAAACACCGTTCTAGATGTTTCACCCAACTGCAAACCGACTTGCATGCTTCCTTGAGATAAGCGCATCATTCATCACTCTTGCTCAGTTTGGTGGCGCACAACTTAAAGCTGGATTCCTGCGCATTGACACAGAAGGTAATGGCCCCGGGTTTGGGCGAAAATCAGCACGGTGGCGAGAGCGGAAGGTGTCTCGGTGGTGTGCCGTTCGTGAGAGTTATATCGTGGCTGTGGAGGACCCAGGAGAGGCAAGCTGAGCGCCATTTCACTGACAATCCTGCTACTAATAAACATGGCTTAGATTGCAATTTGGGACGTCTTCCTCTTCGATTCGGAATTCAAGATCATTCGGCCCACGCGATACTATCGTAAGGGTCTGCACCTCTTGCACGCAGAACCCGAGGACCGTGAATTTCTTGTTGGCCTCAACAAGACACAGCAGGAGCCGCACCCACAGACTCAGATAGAGTACCCACAGGCCGAGGCCGAATGTCTCTCTGCGATAGATAGTATCAAAAGTCGCCTTTCGCGGGTCCTTCGAATTGCCAATAGGTCATCGCCAAATATTACAGCCACTACGGATGGTGAGGTGCCGATCAATCGGGATAATACCACGGGAACGGGGCACACGAGGACAGAGTCAGTCAGTTCTGGCAGCTCCGCAGTATCATCTCGTCCTGCGACACCGATGTTAGATCCGTCTACGCATGTGAATCCTCTGACCAGCAGTGGTCCCGCCGAGGGTAGGGAGACAGAAGGGGAGATAAATGAACAAGATAAGAGGAAGAAGAAAAAACGGTCGGATGATGTCTCAAAGCATACGTTTTATGTCCAGAATTCGCAAATGCGGTTGAAGTTATGGGCAAGAAATGAGGTTGGTTCCTCATGTCGAGTGACTATATATTACTGACGAAGGGTGCCCTGTACCTAGCGTCAAATGTTGCAATGGATTACTGCCCTAGAAAAAGCCGCTGCTGCCACCCCATTCATCGCAAAAAATCGCTTTGACAGCTTTGCTCCAGTGCGATTGAACGTCGCTGCTCAGTGGCTTGTTGATGGGGTTCGTGTCTCCTTTTCTCCATATCATCTGACATTGATCACAAGGAGTAGCGCGACTATATGTGGAATTTGTCCCGGGCTATCCTCATGGCACAATCGACCATCTATATTCACGACTGGTGGCTATCCCCTGGTACGTCCATGGCTCATCATGGTAGTCACTTATTTATGTAGTACAGAGCTGCAACTGAGGCGTCCTAATAAACCCAAGTATCGCTTGGATCATCTGCTTGAAAGAAAGGCCAAAGAAGGCGTCAAGATCCACATAATTCTATAGTAAGAACTTTTCGAATGTCGGTATCTAGTGTTATTGATCTGGTTCTAGCCAGGAAGTTTCGAATCGCACTACCCCCACGGATAGCAAGTAAGAACTGACAAGCGCATCATAAATTTGGTGGACTCACCGTATCATAAAGTTATGCGAAGCAACGCCTCATGTCGCTACACCCAAACATTATGGTTCAACGTTCACCTTCACACTTCCAAACTGGTACATTCTACTGGGCACACGTAAGGGTCCTTACGCAAGAACGCGGTTACCAATGACATATCCTTAATAGCACGAGAAGCTTTGCGTTATTGATGAGACTATAGCATTCATGGGAGGAATTGACCTATGTTTCGGAAGGTGTGCAGTTAATTCAGACGTCGACCAGTTTTCATCACTGAAGACCTTCAAAGATGGGATACGCCACAGCACGTCATCGTCGATGACTCGGAGCTATCGGCAGACAAGACCGAAATCTGGCCAGGTACGTTTTAGCTATACGGTAAACTTAGGAATTGGCTGACCATGCATCACAGGCAAAGACTACAGTAACCCGCGGGTTCTTGATTTTCATGCGCTAAATAAACCCTTTGAGGACATGTATGACAGGACGAAGGTGACCCGGATGGCTTGGTACGGTGGTTTGTGCTTCAGGAAATATTGATATTCACAACTCCTCCCGAAGGCATGATGTAGGTTTGCAAGTCGTAGGCCAGCCTGCTCGTGATCTCGCTCGACACTTTGTTGAAAGGTTTGTCTTCAAATTCATTCGCGCGAAGCATATCATTTAACTACCGAGCTACAGATGGAATTATTTGCTTCGGCTGAAGGTGTGTTTGTTGCCTGATAGATCTTTTGGCTTCGCTTAAATTTTATCAGAACCATTCCCGAACCATGCCTTTCCTGCTACCTCCGCCCGAGTTCAAACCTGAAGAGCTCGCTGCAATGGGCCTGACAGGCACATGCGAGATGCAAATATGCAGATCAGCCGGCCCTTGGTCGCTCGGTACTTCCAATCGAATTGAGCATTCAATTCAAAATGCATACCTAAAAGGTCGGCCATTATGGCTTACGCAGGAAATGTTACTGACATAGTCTTTTAGCCATCGAGATGTCGGAACACTTCGTGTACATTGAGAATCAATTCTTCATAACCTCGTGAGTACTCGCTGCTCTGCTACCACCGCTTGCTGATTTGTCTCGCAGGACCGTCGTGAATGATGTCAAGGTTGAGAACCGGATTGGCGATGCGTTGGTCGATCGGATCATCCGCGCACATCGTGAGGGCACTCCGTGGAAATGTTGCATCGTCATTCCCCTCCTCCCTGGCTTCCCCTTTTCCATTGATCACAGCGACGCTAGCGCAGTTAGTCGGGAAACACATTTTCCGAAATATTACTGAATAAATGTATCAGATTCGAATCATTGTCGAGTGTCAGAACCGCACTATCTGCCGTGGGCCCAATTCGATATTTACTCGACTTCGCAAAGAGGGTATAGAGGTGCGTGGTTGATTTTACGATTGGAACCGCTGTGCTTATCCTTTATCGTTAGCCTGAAGATTATATCTCTGTTTTTTCACTGAGAAACTGGGCTAAACTGCGGAACGGTGTATTGACTACTGAGATAGTAAGTGCCTATGCTGCTGTGCTTTCGAACCCCCTGACCAACCACGCTATAGTTATATATTCATGGCAAGGTATAAATACCAATTCAATCCTTGAAACTGAATACTCAGACCCACCGATCTCATTAGGTTTGTATTGTGGATGACCGTCTGGCAATTATTGGCAGTGCAAACATCAATGAGCGTTCTCAACGTGGCGATCGAGATTCCGAAATTGCTGCAGTCATCCGAGACACTGACCTAATTGACGGGTACGACTTTCTTGGTCTCGTCTGCTAATATTCTGATAGTTGTGGTGCATCAGCACGATGGCAGGAAAACCCTTCAAGGTCGGGCGATTTGCACACACCTTGCGAATGCGGTTGATGCGAGAGCATGTTGGTGTGGATGTTGACGCCATGATTGATTATGAGCCTACGCCCCAAGAAGAAATCGAGCCTGATCATGAACAAGAATGGGACCTAGAATTGGGGCAAGAGCGTGGTGATCGCAATGTTACTCAAGCCAAGCACATGACCCCCATGTCTAATATGCTCCACACTGCAGGCGAAGATATCAAACAAAGTTCGTGTTCACCACAGTCTCGAAGACTTGAAAGACTAAAATTCAATTAAGCTGACAACGAAGCTGCTTGGAATGCTTTGCACCACCTTAAGAAACCTATTGGGAAGGTGGAACTTTACAAACCAAACAATCCGGAGCAAGATGCATCTCTGGAGGAGCGTATGACGTACATTTGTGAAGGCAAGAAGGGACTAGGACTCCCTAGCGTAATAGTCCCAACTGTAGAAGAGGCAGTTGTTCAAGACCGCCTGCCTCCAGGTTCACAGGCTGAGCATCCTCCCTTGAAAGACAAGCTCGAACATCAACTGGGCGGAAACTCTGACCCCGTCGAGAAGCGCACAACTAATGGGAAAGCAAACGGTGCTCCGGCGCTTGCGTTAAAGAATCTACAGACCGGTGACGAACCACTCCATCTGGAGTCGGGCGCCAACGACCCGGACGCGCTTGAGAAGACTTCTCTGGGAACCAAGACCCTGCCCAGGAAGCATCTCACTAGCAAAGTCGGCAATAAAGCGTGGGCTGTATCGAGCCCAGCTCCCCATGTAGATCCAGAGGGTTTTGAAGACCCAATATCTGATGCATTTTGGAAGAATGTTTGGATTGCTTGCGCTACGTATAACGTATGTTATCTTTGCCTGGGAGTGGTGGATAGACTGATTCTTTTTCGCAGACCGATATTTATCGCAAAGTTTTCCATGCTATCCCCGACGACCACATTACGACGTGGAAGCATTACAAAGAATTTGTTATTCACCACGAACGCTTCTCTAAGCTGGTTTGTGGATCTTTTCTTTGTCATACCCCTCCTAAATACTTTTATCACATAGGCAACGAGTAGCCATCCGTCCTACCCAGCATCACGAGTACCCTCAGAGACAACGCACGAAGACGGACCATATCAAAAGGAAGGTTTGGCGGATGCCGCTCAGGAGAGTCGCGAAACCTTTTGCACCAACGATGGAAGCGACGGCGCCCCCTCCAGGGGATCCCAGCTCCTTGAGAAGGACACTCGTAGCCGAAAACCTGTGAATGGGATAGAGCCTTTTACCAAGCAGGAACGAGATGAAATGGAAGAGCTGTTGAAAAGTGTCCGTGGACACCTCGGTGAGTGCCATCCATCACCCCCATCCTCAACTTCTTCTCATATCCTCGAAGTTGTGTATCCCAACCGATTCTTGGAAGGAGAGGACATGGCAGGGAACTTTATGTTCAATGCAGACAGGTGTGTTGCATCACATACATATATTTCATGTTGTTCACAGTTGCTAGGATGCTACCTCTCCCGATCTATAACTGAACTTTCTCCGCACCATCAGTTTCACGGACCCATTTCGCATAAAGGATCGACAATGTATACGTATCACGCGCACTCCTAACATTTGCTTTCGAGGTTTTGCCATTTATTCTTTTCTTTTAAGCTGTTTCCATGTCGAAGACCATCTTGTCTGGGAGTTTTCCCGCTATGTGATCTAGTCTATTGGCAGCATTAATATACGCACCTTCAAGGTACGGGCTGGAGAGGGCCCGGTAATCAGTATGCGCCTGATGCGGGCGGAATTCATCCAATTTCTCCTTGTTCTCGAACAAAAAAATGGCCCCTAAAGCATGTCGGACAGCAAGTCACAAGCTTTTGTGAGATAGCGCACCCATGTCATAGCCGTGGTCGAGGGGGTGGAGGACCTTCTCTCCGGTGATAACGCTCTGAAGCGCGGATATTCTTGATGGAAGCTCTTTGATAAGTTCCTTCACATACTCTCTTTGCTCGGGGGTTGCCTCCGACTTGAACTTGTACAGGACTTTGCTGCGTTAATTCCAAGCAAGGCGAGGGGGTCTGATGGAAAGTTACCTATATTGTAGATGGTCATGATGGACTCAGATAGAACCGGGAAGTGAATGGTCGCTCAAAACCACGGAGGTGTGCCAGGATCACTTTGCAGTGTCAGCATTCTCTATTTAAGTGAGACAGGTGTATGGTGTATGACATGGACTGTGTGCATGTGACGATATGGCTTGTCAGGGTGCAATGACAGAAATACCTGTCTACATAAAAATCATAGTCGGAAGCCGAAGTTGAGGATTATCAATTTCCTCATCACGATAAGCGCAATAGATTTAGCCATCTACACGAGTACTTGGTACAGCACGATATCAAGCTAAGTAGTTTCCCCTCTAAGCTGTCTCGATATCAAAGATGAGTTTGTCTGCGCCCTGTTCAGATACAGCGGTCTTTGAACAACAAGAAAACCCACCTTCGATATAAGGTGCTGTGAACGCCTGGTAATCAATATGCGCCTTGTGCGGGCGATACTCGTCCAACTTGACCGCGCTCTCGAATAGAAAAATAACCCCTAAAGCACAGTCTTATTAACCATCCGGGTTATAGATACGATGAGAGATGCTGTACCAATATCAAAGCCATGTCCAAGGGGATTGTACACTGTTTCTCCAGCAACCATGCTCTGGATTGCAGGTATCTGGGATGCAAGGGCACGGGCAGAGTCTTCTACGCTCTGACGTTGTTCTGGGGTTGCCTCAGGCTTGAACCTGTATAAGACTGTGCCATGTGTTAGATCGCTTGAAGTCGGGCAGGAGAGAACGAGAAAACCTACTTATATGGTGAATCGTCATGGTGAACTAGAAGGGAGGAAGAAAGAATGGTCACATGGATGTTATATCCCCAACATATATATATGAGCACGGCGGCTCGGTGTTAATTTTGTCCACTCCGTCATCCTGTGCTGTGTATTTGCAATGCGTCCCCCTATAGACTGGTATAAGCAGCCCGCCTTTGAGGCAAGCTGACGATAGATGAGTCAGACTGGTGAAACTGCATGGTGGCACAAGGCTCGGTAAAGCTTTCCAAAGGGTCAACTTCCCAAAAAGGGGTGCTTTTCCGGGGGCCAGCAAATGTTCCTATTCGGGAGCAACGTCACGTGCAAACATCACCAGTTCGCGACGGCTTGCCTCGCGTCACTCGCAAGCCTACATCCGAGTATTCGGCTCTACTCTCAACTCTTGATCAAGTTTGTTTCCGACTTCGTCTCCACATTCGCATGGCATCTTTCATAGATCGAAAGCTATTGTAAATACGATGTCTGTGCCATTAATGGTCGCTTTTGTGATGAATGCAGTTTCATTCAAAGTCGCGCGTTGACAACGTTGACGACTTGTTTAAACAAAGTACGGTGCAAACGCTATTTATAGTGTGCAGCGGACTGATCAAGCCGGCGAGAGGCCGAAGGGTTGTGTATGCGAGGGCGGGAACAATTCGGCTGCAGAGGGTGACGATCATCTGAAAGCAAAAGTCGACTCGAGCTTGTACTAGGCCGGGGCGACAACCGACTGCTAGCACTGCAGAACGGCACTCACTCCGGGACATTATAAGGCCCTAAATGTTAGCTTTCAGTCGTTTTTGGACTCAGAGCCATCCGAAGCTGTATCATTCCGACTCACGGATGAGGTGAATGGATTGAAAGGTGATTCAGTTGATTCAGATACTTGCGAAATAGCATCGTATTAAAAATTTTCACTTCAAGGGCCGCGACCCGAAGGTAATTCATACACAGCAGCACCTTCAGCCATCACCTGCATGAGTAGTACAACATCCGATCAAACTAGTTTCCTCTCTAGGCGGATGACTCGATATCAAAAATGAGTAGACCTGCACCCAATCATTCAATGAAAGCGATCTTCAAACAAAAACAAGACATACCTTCGGTCAAAGGTTTCGCTAACCCCTGATAATCAATATGCGCCTTGTGTGAGCGATACTCGTTCAACTTGGCTTGACTCTCGAACAGGAAAATGACCCCTGAGGTACGATCTTAATGATCACTCTAAAACAAGACGAAAAATGGCATACCTTCGTCGAAGCCGTGTCCGAGATGGTTGTACACCGTTTCACCAGTGATAATGCTTTGGATTGCAGGTATCTGCGACAGAAGGGCGCTGACGCTGTCCCTCACGCCCTGTTTCTGTTCTGGGGTCACCTCGGGCTTAAACTTGTACAGGACTGTGCTGTGCATTAGCATCTGATTTCAACGCTTCGAAGGAGGGTTTACCTATGTGGTGAATGGTCATGATGGATTGAAAGGGTGAGGGGAAGTGATAGCTGAGTCCATTTGCTTGATGTCTATTTAAGCAAGGGTCGGACTAGAACTGAAACTAGAGAATCGTTTGTGAGGGCGGTGCAAGAGGTTCGCAATGATTATCGATCAATTGAGGGGCTACAACGGACTGCCACATCATGACACTGTGCACCGCAGCATCCTGATCCGAGCGGAGGCACTGCAACCATTACTAAGGTCATAGTTGAGCGCTGAATTATTCATCATGCATCAAGGCCTTAGCTCCGAGTGCTTCCGCCCTCTTTACCCGGCGTCCGGTTTGCAGCTACCCAGTATTCAGCTTTCTTAGAATTAATGATTAATGTTCCATCATGTCAGTTTTATACGCCAAGTCTACAGCACGCCGTGATAATCAGTAATCATTGATCCATTCCGACAGACGTTAATCATAAACGTCAAGCGGACCAATAACTAACTCTGCTGTGGACTACCGAGCGACACCTTGTGGTCCCAAACGAGAACAACATCTGCGTGACGGCTTGTTTAAACAAAGTACGTGGCGAATGCTATTTATGGTGAGCAGCGGACTGATCAATGCGGAGAAGCATCGTGACTCCCGGCGCTCACTCCAGCGTATGACATAAGGCCCTAAATGGTGGCCACCATCAGCTTTCGCAAAGAACTGCCGTTTTGGCGTCGACTAGTAGAGCCGCCATCCATCATGCATCAATCAGGTGTACGCATTCTGACTCACGAACGATGTGAATGCTCATAGTTACGACTCGAATGTGATCCAGTTGATTCAGCCACCTGCGTATCAAACATTACGTTTCATTTCAGGGGTCGCGATCCGAAGGTGAATTATACGCAGCACCTTGAGCCATCACTTGCGTGAGCAGCCCAACATCCTATCGAACTAGTCTCCTCTCTAGGCGGATGACTCGATATCAAAAATGAGTAGATCTGTGCTCAACCATTCAATCAAAGCGATCTTCTAACAAAACCAAGACATACCTTCGAGCAAAGGTTCAAAGAACGCCCGATAATCATCAAGCGCCTTGTGTGGGCGATACTCGTTCAACTTGGCTTGACTCTCGAACAGGAAAATGACCCCTGAGGTACGATCTTAATGACCACTCTGAAACAAGACGAAAAATGGCATACCTTCGTCGAAGCCGTGTCCGAGATGGTTGTACACCGTTTCACCAGTGATAAGGCTTTGGATTGCAGGTATCTGCGACGGAAGAGCGCTGGCGCTGTCCCTCACGCCCTGTTTCTGTTCTGGGGTCACCTCGGGCTTAAATTTGTACAGGACTGTGCTGTGCATTAGCATCTGATGTCAACGCTTCGAAGGAGGGTTTACCTATGTGGTGAATGGTCATGATGGATTGAAGGGGTGAGGGGAAGTGATAGCTGAGTCCATTTGCTTGATGTCTATTTAAGCAAGGGTCGGACTAAAAACTGAAACTGGAGAATTGTTTGCGAGGTCTCTGCAAGAGGTTCATAGTGATTATTGATCAATTGAGGAGCTACAACGGACTGCCACATCATGATACTGTGCACCGCAGCATCCTTATCTGAGCGGGGGCACTGCAACCATTACTAATAGTAAGATTGTAGTTGAACGTTGAACGTTGAGCGCTGAATCATGCATCATGCATCAAGGCTTTAGCTCGATGTGACAACATTTGAATCACAATTTTAGTCATACCAATGGCAACGTAAGTACTAGCATGGAAAAAATATTATGATGGAATTACCACCACCCCGCTCTTTGCCTGGTGTCCAGTTTGTGCAGTATTCGGCTTTTGTTTAGAATTAGTGGTACATAGTGATTGTTAATGTACAGTGCATTGGTTTGGCAGAACTATGACGGCGTGTGCATGTGACCAACGCCGTGAGTAAATATAAAAATTCAAATTCAAACCCGTGACCAACCTGTGACGATCAGTAATCGACCACTGGTCCCGAGCGGCGAGCAAGAGCGGGTATGACACCACTGTGCGACCTAGAAATACCAATCACTCCACTGTAGACCATCGAGCGATATCTCATGGTCCCAAGCAAGAGCACATTATGCGACCTAGAAAGAACAATAGCTCTGCTGTGGACTACCGAGTAACAGCTTTTGGTTTGCTTTTGGTCCACTGCACACAATGCGTTTCTACTTCTGTGGATGACGCCGTGGTGGACATTGTTGATGAGGTGAGTATTTAAGGACTCCTGCACAGTCCAAATCAATTTGACATTAGCTACTTCATCATGCAACCTTTTACCCAACTTTCATTTCCATTTGGCGACCTTCCGGTTGAGCTGGTCCTCCTTATCCTTAAACATGCGGCACAACCCAGTTTTTCTCAGATTGCACCATACAAGTTCAAAAACCCATACTCATTCGCCCTCGCTCTCTGTCTTGTCTCTAAAGAGGTCAGGAAAACGGTGTTGCCCGAAATTCTTCACACCGTGTTGCTCCCGCAATTGCGCAGCGTGACAGCGTTCGTGGACACCTTACGTATGCAGCAGGCATACGCTCAGCAAGATCATCAATTCAAATTTGACTACGCGAAGCATGTACGCAGGATGTGGATGGGACAGTTTCGTGGCTCCCTCCCAGGACTTTCGCTCAACGAATTCGGACAAATGCAATCTGGGCTAGACCTCAGTCCCCTGGCCCCTGTCCTGCTCGCTGCACCGTCCATCGCAGTCGACTTTGAGAATCTGGGCCTTGTGTCAGGTTGCCTTTTCCATGCCTGGAAATCACGCGTGGATAGCCACGAAGAATCTCCAGTTCTGTACAGCCCAAAAACCTTGATGGTAACGGGTACTGAATCCATGACTCGCCAATGGTCGTTCTACATCAAGACCGACCATGGAGCGGCTTTCCTTGCTTCTATATCTAATGTCATCTCCATCACACACACGATAACCGACAGCACTCGGCACCAGTGTGGCATCTGCCACCGCGATAGTGCATCGAAAATCTACAAGCTGCCTGAGTGGATGGCGCGGGCCCCACTCAGCAATCTCCAGACCTTTTCATTGCCCATTCCGCATAGCGCGCACACGCTTGCTGAATGTGAGCCTACCGGAACGGACATGAAAGTAGAACTTTTGACGTTCTCTGTTTCCAAGTTGTCGCCGCGCCGACGCACGCTCAAGGAACTAAGGATGATTCAGCAAATGGGGAGTTCTCCGTCTGATCATGGTCTTTTGGCGGCGTCCCATCTTCGATCATCCTTTTGTATCCTTTGTCAAGATTGGCTGAAAGCTTGGGCCTGTGGATTAGGAAGCTGACTGGTTATTGTATATGTATTGCTACCAGTTTCCTATTAGCGTTGGATATTACATTGGAATGATACCTGCAGGCACTCATTGCATGTACGCGCAGCATTAGGACCCTGCATAATAAAATTCTCTTACAGATAAAATATGTACTGCTGAATACACAAGAACAAGACACTCACCTCGATAGGTATATTGACAGTGAATGCACTAGCAACAATACGAAGACCCACAAGCAGCGCATCCCCGACTCTACTTTAGTGGAAGAGGGTTCTGTGGCAAGCAAGGTGTAAGAACGGCTATCCGACCCCAGCACACATGTCAGTGTCACCTCGGGATTTGGAATTTGACTTCGAACGGTCTCGTAGTACTGTTTATCATTCAATGCTACTTCTACTCTATCGGGTTAATTTCTCGTTTCCGCAGCGACTGGAAGGATCGACTCGTGACATCCTGTTTAACTGATGCATGGTGATTAGATGATGTACAATGCGGCAATTATGATCAAGAATAACGTAGGACTACAAATGCACACCGCTTTCTTCTTCATCCTCCCCAGTCGAATTCGATGATCCAAGACCCGAGTTGTCTCCCGGGAGAGGTGCGTCCAACGGCTCGAGTCCAATATCACCAGTCCCAAATCCACCACTGGCATGCCTACCATTTCTACTTTCAGGTGCCGGTTCAGGAGGAAGGTCATAATGAGCGCTAGTGGCATTCGACGCTCCACGCTGGGTGAGCGCCAATTTGAGCATGAATATTCGCTCATCTTGCGATGCTCTGTGTGAACGCGTGCGTCGATCTCAATAAGTGCAGTGAAATCCATGTACTGCCTTGTACTGACAACGTCTGGTTGTTTTCTTTGATTGCTTGTGCGATGTCTGGGTCGTCTGCATATTCCTGGAGTTCTTCTTGCGTGCGTTTTAGATGGGAAATTGAGTTTTGAAGACGACCGATCTCTGATATTTGATGTTCAAGTTTGTCCTTGGATATGCGTCTCTAAATCGTGATTACATACCATCGGCAGAAACTTCAGGATCAAAGGAGATAGCTTGCTGAAACGTGAATGGTTGAGGGTGACATGGAGTAAATTCCATCGTGCTCCTTCAAGTGTGTGGTAGTCATGAACGAACCACTGATCAGGCCCCGCTGACATACTTGACTGCCGATTCCCGCCAGATGATAGTTGGAGTCGCGGCGAATTATTGAATAATGAGTATTCGGGGTCCGCTCTACACCGTAGTCTGCAACAAGTTGTCGATCCATTCAATATTTCAATACTTGGCACAGTCGTAATTTGCCATCAAAACCCAATAAGTGGCTCTCAGTTGCTCGCTTTCTCGCGTCATGGACGAGTCTGTCGCTCTCGATGCTCTTGCTGACACACTCACAAGACTATCCACGAATTCGTACAGTGTTGACCTCCATGTGCAGCACATTCGCCTGGCAAAGTCTATGGAAGACAAGGATCAAATATTAGTTGCTCTCGAAATGGCAACAAACTATATAGCAACACCAGACGACGTTTGGCTACCTCTCATTGACGCGAAAACTGCCGCGAATGATATAAATACGCCAGAGGGTGCACTGGAGGTGTTGGGCGTATATTCGAAGGCAGAGCAGGACTACATGTGTATGTGAGCTGCAGTATACGTTCTGGGAGATATTGACAGGCTATATCTAGCCTTCTCCATTTTGCAAAAGCATCTGGAATTCCTAGCCGACCGTCACGAACACTTCTCTGGGTTGGAGGTTGAACCAGATAGCCTAGGAGAGCTGTTTTCTGATGACTGGACTCGGGAACTCATGTCGATTGTGGTTTCCAAAGGCGCTGGTGACATAGCACAAGTAAGTTCTTCAATGCAACACAATACTAAACGCTAACGACACGCAGAGTCATATACTTTGGGATCAGTATTACAACTGGGAACTTGAGATACTGGAGAAGGCCTCGATGGATAAGAAGTGCGTTGCAAAGTTTCGACGCTTCGACGACTCGTAGCAGCTCGCTTATGATATGTCAGGCCCCTATTGGTCAACGTGATTGAAAACATCCTGCTCGCTCGTCTCCAGCAACCGCATGCCAGTAAGATATCATCATTCATATACTTTTTCGATACTAAGGTCGCAACCATAGAGCATCAGGACACCTATCAATCATACTCCTCGTTTACAACTGCGCACAAGCCTCCTAGTGAATACGAATCGCTTCTCATATCTGCGTCAAAATTGCGCTCACGAGCTGTCAAAGAATATGAGAAACGAGAGGCGTCGGAGATGGTATTGGTAAGCAAACTACTTTTTCTTCGTAAATTTCTGACTGTTCCTCTGTTTAGGCAGCTGCTGGATACTCACTCGATGCATACGCAACCTACATCGCTGCAGAGCGACGTCGAAGAGATCCGGATTATTTCATTCTTTGTGGATTGTACGAACGCGGCCTTGCAGAGGCATCAAGACGCCAATTTGCTGGCGAGCTTGGCGCAGAACGGGCAACACAGATGTTTTGGGTTGGATACATTGATTTTGTGAATTCACAAGGTCAAAGTGCGGAGTTTTGGCAACGTGCGACACGCAGCGCACCAGGCTCGGGCGAAGTTTGGGCACGATACATTCGTTTCCTGGTAAGCTCAACAAACTTTGGCCCGCTCCCTCACCATGCCTATTCTCACGCCAGGAACGGGAACAAGAGTCCGAGGCCAGTACGGATGAGATGGATGCCAGTCAGAATGAAGATATTGAAGGTAAATAATGGTGTTGGACTCCATTCCTCGTTTTCTTATTCATTTTTTTTTCAGCTGCCTACGCTCGTGCACTCTCAACAACCCTGTTTAGTAGGGGCAGGAAGAGTGATCCTGAAGTTGACGCTGACCAAATTGTACCTTTGGTTCTCGCTCGTGCAGGCGCGGCAAAGCGCGCAGTTGAAGCCGGTCATGATGACGGGGATAGTCTGACCACCCTCATCAAGGTCGTGGAGGATGGGATCGCGATGGTTCGCCAAGGTAAGAATGTATGCTCTTTGACCCAATTATTGATAGCAACGATAAGTACCCTTCCTTCAGCATCGAGCAGTGGAGATCCCCGCTTCAGGCTAGAGAAGTTTTTGTCTGAATTCGTATGTCAATTCATGAGCGCCGCAAATAAACTTAGCGAACTTTCTATGTAGTATCTCAGTCTTGCGGACGTTCCGGATGCTGCCGTGCAATTATGGGCTTCCACAGCAGCTCACTATAAATCGAGCTGGGCAGCTTGGGTGGCTTACACTGATGTTCTCATGTGCGCTCCATTCATTTTCATTTACATGGATGTTCAGTTAACTGTTTCCAGCCGCACATATCATCATGATCTTGCTCGCAAAAACTTCCAAGATATGAGCACGAAGAACCTGGATTATCCAGAGGCCCTCTGGGATGCATGGCACAATTTTGAACATGCGCACGGGTCCCTTTCTTCTCTCGAGGAAGCCATATATAAAATCACTCAAGCAAGAGCCCAACTTGAAACGCGGAGAGCGCGGGTAAGTGCGCTCTCATAATAATTTGGTAACAACTCAACTGCATTTTAGGAGGCCGAGAAAGCATATGCAGCAGCGGCAGCACAGTATGCAGAGCAGCAATCTGCATCAATGCCAACTGTTCCCGCGACAGGTGCGACACAAGATTCAATACCGATTGCCAGTGAAACTATGGATGTCGACTTCCCAGCTCCAGCAGACACGAAAGGGAAGCGGAAAGCTGAGGAAGAACCCCTTGTTACTGAAACCAGTGGGGGCAAGAAGCCTCGCCTCGGTAAATCATTCATCGCCGTTATTGCATTGAGGTTTTAATGAGACTGCTTCCAGAAACTCCACCTGTTTCCCTGAAACGGTATGGATGCCTTTATACTCGAAAGGATATTCACTTCACACAAATTCATGATCAGTGATCGAGAGAACTGCACCGTTTTCGTTGCCGACCTACCATCTGAGGCGACTGAAGCCGATCTAAAGGCATTGTTCAAAGACGCGAGTGTTCTATCCTCCTAACTCTGTTCCTCCTATATTTCTTTCTCACTTCCGTGCACTCAGTGTGGCGATATCCGAGACATCAAATTCACCCGTATGCCGGAAACACTAGTCGCAACGGTGGAATTTCATGATAGGGTAGGTCACATCATTTTACGGACCATATCATGTGTACTGACACGTGTATTACTTCCTAAGGACAGTGTGCCAGCTGCTCTTACCAAGGACAAGAAGAGGATACATGAGACCGAGATCGGCGTGCATCTAGCCTGGCGCTCGACGTTGTATGTCACGAACTTCCCAGAAAAGTTCGATGACGCATCTATTCGTGATTTGTTCGGCCAAGTGAGTCATCTTTCTGCGCATTATATCCCAACCTGATTCAGTTCCAAAAGTATGGCCTTATCTTTGATGTACGATGGCCAAGCAAGAAATTCAAAGCTACACGACGTTTTTGCTACTTGCAGTACACATCTCCAGTTTGTGATACTCTTTTTGTGTGAACTGTTGACATCTGACTTTTGCACGGCAGCCGTCAGCTGAACGAGCACTCGAGCTCCATGGTCGCGAGCTGGAGCCCGATCGCGCTATCAGCGTGCTCATCTCAAATCCCGAGCGTAAGAAAGAGAGATCAGATGCAGATGCTAATGAGCGAGAACTCTATGTTGCTGGCCTAAGCAAATTTGCGACGAAAGAAGACCTAAGAAAAGTCTTTGAGACTGTGAGCCCGTTCTATGTGAAGTGGTTGGTTGCTAAGGGTTGTTTCCGTCAGTATGGACCCATCAAAGAAATCCGCCTTGCGGAGGATAAGAGCGGACAGTCCAAAGGGTTTGCTTTCGTCGATTTTGAATCAGAGGTATGGTTTCTACGAACATGCAACTAATTTGTTGTTCATCGTGTCGCTTTGTAGACGGATGCTCGTGCTGCGCTTGCTGCTAATAACTATGAACTGAAGAATCGACGTATCGCGGTCACTTTCACAGATTCTCGTGTGCGTGCGAAGAACAAGTTCAGTCATTCTCTCGCATTACTGTACAACAAATTTACCTTATCCACTTTTTAGAGAGCGCACAGCCGAAACAGGTCTGGGCCGCCGCGCTGACGCTCGAAACCGTTCTGTTCGAATTCGAAACATTCCCTCGGGAACACAAGAAGGACTACTTCATCAGCTCCTGGAGAAACATTTTCTCGTTAAACGAACAGAGGTCTTCACTGCTTTGAACGAGGCAGTGGTCGAACTTGAAAATCCTGCTGTTAGTATTGAGTTCACACGATCCGCAGAATCCTAGTGACACGTTTATAGGAGGCTGGGAAGCTACTGCTTAGGACTGAACCTATCATCTTGGGCGAGAATGTATTACAATTTTCTGAAGAGCAGGCAGGGCCTTCCCATGGCCAGCCTGCGGCACCGCCGCCAGCAACTGGGGGCATGTTTGTACCTCGGGCAACTGGGTCTCGGCCGAGAGCGGGCCTTGGTCGCGCCCGCAAACCTGGTCTTGGTGCCACGCAGGCGTCATCGAGTTCAAGCGCCCAGCCACCAGAGCAGAAGGGAAAGAAGGGGCAAGATGACTTCAGAAAGATGTTGGGTTAGATTATTGCACACGGCAGTATTACATCCCTGGTTCTAATACGTTGGACTCACTCATCAGTGAGCTCGGTATACTGATAGTCCATCTAACTCACGTGTTGTGGTCTCGGATCCTATTTACGATAGGTAACGACTATGAAGGAATGTCTCTACCACGAAATAATATGGACCTAGTAAAGTTCCATATATGTCCACGCGAAGTCAGTACGTGACCAGTCGTGGGCAGGACATCCTTTTATGGGAGGGAGCATAATAAGGGTTTAAGGAGGGGGATGAAGTGTCCAGCGCGCAATAGCTATGGTCGTATAATAATGCAAGCAGGGCGTATGGTTATAAAAGATCATGACTAACTACACAACAGCACAGCATGAACCAGGGGATGGCCACAGCTTAACACCCGGTGAGAGTATTTGTGGGAAAGTTATATCCACCTTGTGCCCAGGTTGTGATGTTGGGGTCGGTGTATGCGTTCAGGTGACTGCGCAATGTGAGATATTGACTGATAGCAAGAGGATATGATGGATACACACCTATTGATATAATCCGCAGTGGGGCGGTTTGGTGGATCGCAGGTCAGGCCATTTTGGATGCCTTCCCGCTGGTAGACGCGAACGTAGTCGATATACATTTCACTTGGAAATTGCATGTGCATGAAGTCTTGCTCCTGGAATGAAGCTACGGTGAAACGCGTTCAGTGATCAACGAAAAATATATCTCTGCTGGTTCCACTCACGAGCGAGACCCAGGTTCAGGATAATATACTGCAAATGACGTCAAACGTTGATACAAGTCATATAACAAATAACTTACCATGGGTTCCTCGGGAATTAAACGTGCCGAAATCTGAGCCGTGGTATCTGCCCCAATAGATGCAGATGTAACTTTCCATGTTTCTTGGCCTTCACTGTACCACTGAATGTATCCCTGTGGCCGATTGCTAGGGTTTGACCACCATTCATACCCATACGTCGCGAAGCCCTGCCCGTTGTAGTTCGAACTACTGATGTAGGAGACCGCAGACAAAGCCTGTTGGTAAACACCACCCTTGTAAGAGTTCAATTGAGTTTGGGAATTCTGGATAGTCGTAGCAGGTGTAGTCGAAGTGAACTCATACTGATAGTTGTACGGTGCGGTCTGGAAGGATTGCGAAACTTGGCCTTCGAGGACGCTGACGTCGACTTGGGTCTCGAAAATGTCGATTTCTGGAACTCCACGTCCCGTATCTACATTAGGCCCAGGATGTTCTTGACCGGTGCAAGTGCAACTCGGGAGTCGTTGACCTGGTTGATAGCTCAGAGGCCCGCCGCCGGCTCCACCTGTGGCCGCTGCAGCAGGAACTCCATTCTGGGTCTGATTAGGCAATATTCCTAGGTCACACGTGTCATAGCTGTATGGCCAAGTGCCTGCAAAAATATAAGACACAAGTGAGAGAACATACACATTCACACTCTAACCTTGGGTGGTGCCTCCATAACCAGCGCGTCCCTATCAGTATTAGTCATTACCGCTGAAAGTCTCGCAGATTATAATGGCTCACCAAGTTGCCCATGGTCCATGCACCTAAATAACGGTGTCAGTAAAATAGATAGCGCCCGATAGCTAACTTTGCCCACCAGGCCAGAAACCAGGAGCTAGAGGCGAGCCTGGCATGCTCACGTTGACCTCTATGTATCCCGTTGTAAAGCAGATCTTGTTCCATGTTGTGACCATGCCTATAAATGATGAGTCGACAGGGATCATCACATTGGCGGATTCCACACACCACTCATGAAGTTGAGGTTGTTTATGGGCTGTTCCGACATAGTGATTACCATGTTACCGCCCTGAGTCGTTATAGACTGTGATGGATGTCAGATCATGATGGATACAAATTCTGGATGCTGCCACACCTGCGGATCATACCACTCGAGGTCACCAGTAGCCCTGTATCAGGAAGTATTATATCGGCTGACAATCTCACGCGGTTCACGCTCACCAATAATGAAGGTTCTCTGCCTCCCAGAATGGGTCATCTCCAGGCCAGAATGTTCGACCATCCGTATTAAATTCATCGCTGAATACTAACTGGTATGTATCTCCATCACTGCCCGTTCGGTAGTGATATTGTGATGGGGTGGCGGCATCTATGAGGCTCGGCATGCCTGGGAGTAGCGGTATCTGACCCGAAGCGTTTATCCCACCCAAGTTGTATCCTGTTGTCGTGTCGGTTGGTAAGGTAAAATAATGTATGATTGGGTATCCAGCGAACAGCGTGATGAGTCCAACGACGAGGATGAAAAGTGCAGATGCGTTTGCCCATCCTCGAGCTGAGAAAATTGTAAAAGAACTATCGAGTGCGGCATCATTGACTGGATCTGGATTGTGTAGAGCGTCATCAAGATCTGGATCCTTGATGTCCCAGAGATATGGTGGAACGGTAGACGAGGTTCCTAGCGGACCGCCGGGCTTTTCGCCGGTCACAGAAGAGACCTCAGAGGCGGGGGCACTGAATCGTGAAGGGTTGTGAACGCCGTTGTTCTGGGATGTAGATGGGTTGTACTTGAAGCGCCAACAAGTTCACAGCAAGATCAACAGAGTGAAAAAGTAGAGTGCTCACAGAATAAGGACCATACCCCCCTCCAATTTGACCACTAGCTACTCCCTGTGCGATAGCACCCCTACCTGATTGCATCTGGCTGCCTGCGGAACCAGACCTAGCTGGGGGTCGCGACTGATTATACGGGGCCTGCATAGATGAACCTTGCGGACTCTGTGGTACGGCGTAATATTCCTGGGCGCTTGGAGGAGGCCGGCGTTGTTGCTGGGGGACCATGGAGTTAAGAGGAAGAGCGACGACTCGGGAACAGGAAGAGGAAGATATTCGCAGGGCGACCCTGACCCACGGTGGCTTCAACGCTGTAGTCTAAACCTGGACGAATTGACTTTCTCACGCTACACGCATGCCCAGCCTGCTTTGAAATTGTAACACCACGCTTCGACAATATTGCCGTGGTGATGATAATTAAACAAACATCACGTATGGTCCAACAGTATCAACTACATCTTCATCCTACATACCGATCCACCACCTGTGTTTCCATCGAACGTGAAAAAGTTTGCTATCGGCGCTTCTCGAGCGGCGAGAGCTTTCAAAATATCCTGCGCCAAGATCCCTCCAACAACTGCGCATGTCGGCGAAAACTCGTGCACAGCTGATGTGCTCATTGCACTGGAATACATACGTCATTTTTTATCCCCAAACAGGTAACTTTAATAATGCGTACTCAATCAAATCCGGAGGAACTGAAGTCAGAACTTGTCGGTTAACGTCCGACAAAGCGAGGATAGAATTGGCTATTTGCCCTAGCTCAGAGGTTGCGTCAATGTCATCTGGAAGTTTGCCTTCATGGATATGTTGATACTCCCAAAGGGCTAGCAGGTGGACATCAGGTCATGCGTGTTGGAACTAGAGCGTGAGATTGATTCATACCTAGAATGATGTGCACCACGGCGGGGTTGAGTTCCTTTGTCTGGCGTTTTGTCAGACCTGTCCACCGATGCTGCAAAGCCGTCGACAGCCGTGAGTAGGATGCAGTCGCTTTCACATTCTTTGGTGCTTCTTTGGGTGCCGATCGGTCACTTTCCTCAATAATGTTAGACGACAAATGGAGTAAGATTGACAGCCAATAGAGACGAGCTGTCATCCAGAACAATGGATAGAGGTCACTCACGGAGAAATATAATCATGCTTGAGCAGATCACAGAAGACGTAACCGAGCAAGCCAAATGTACCACCAGCATAGAACGGCTTCCCAAACTGCCGGCAGATGTCGTTGATCTTAATCTAAAAAGAGCAAATGGACTAACGAGTACACTGAGAATCGTTGAACTTACCAAGGCTTCGCGGTCCCAATCCGTCACGCAAACTAGATCAACGCTCATAATGAGGGCTTCTAAAGACCCCTGCTCTAGAAGCGTTGGATGTCTCAGGGCTTGCACTGTAACAAGTGGATTCAGTGCCTCTATTCGAGCCTTTGCGGCATCTACTCTCTATCAGAAAAAACCCGATAAATAGCCACAAAAAGTCTGCGAGGGTTGAAATTTGTAGTACCTTTTTCCCCACATCCTCATCTCTGAAAAAGAAGCCAGCTCCCAAGTCCTCCTCCTTAACTTCTTCTGAGTCGTAAATGACAAGTTTCCCTATCCCTGCCAAAACGATGTTTTTGATTGCTTCTGTCGCGGTGCCCCGCAGTCGGATAACCAAGATGGTGGCATTTCGCATTCTATCAATGGCCAGTTCAGTACTCGAGGTATGCGAGCAAGTCATGTCTGCTCATTGTGTAGCAGACGATCGTGCACTCACCGTTGCTGAGCTTCAAGGCCCCATAATCGTATCTGACGGTCATAAACAGCTGCTTCATCTGCGTAACCACCAAGGTTCAATCGTCAATGCACCAAAAGAAGACGCGTCTCCTGTCAGCGTATGGAGCCAATCTGCAGGGATTGTCCGACCTTCCGTAATCTGCACCGGGTCGCCTTTGCTCCCTCCTTCGTAGTGTGTGTCCATGACGAATTGGCACGACAACGTATAAGTAGGTCGATATGAATCACGTCCAATTGACTAGGAATTGAACGCGGGTCAATGATTTGGCCAAAACCACTTTGCGAGTCACAGGGTGGTCACGCCAGGCCAAACATGGAACTCCCCTGTTCTCAAGCAATCCGACAAAAATACAGTCAAGATTCAGTCAAATCAAAATAATACCTTGATATTCGAGGTCGGGTGTCAATATTATTCTGAAGATAGACCATTGACATCCGCGGTATGCCAATCACGAATGTGGTGGAATTGTTCTGAACTCTAATACTAAAGATATCAAGCTTGGGAGAGAGCTGACACAGTCTGACTGAACGAATATCGAATATCGATAAGTATAGAAAGGACATCGGTATGTATGAATAGACGAGTCCAGCAATACGATATACAAACCACAGATACAGGGACGACAAAAAGAAGCACATAGATCATGTACTATTTTGCTAGATCATGGACATGCCACCGTCGCCACTCGATGTGCCGTCACGATCATCGTCGAGACTGGGATACATAGCAATGAGCTCCAGACTTCACACGTATGAGATCTGATGGCCGCAACTCACAGATAATTTCTCTCGATTTCGGACAGAATAGATAGGAAGTCCCCTAAGAAGCGTGTCAGAGAGATAGTGGCACGGCGATAAGCGCGCGAAACGCACACAGGAAAGCATGGGCACGGGCAGCGGATACCGGAGCGGTCTCCGCCTTCCGAACAGCATCTAACAAGGTGGATGCGACAAATCGCACTTTGTGCACCTAGGTGGCACAGCGGTGTTACTTGATAAGTGCAAAATCAATACAGATGATTCTCACCAGCGAAGGACCATTAGTAGCGATTGACTGGATAGGAATACTGTGGGGAAAAACATTAACAGCGCCGTGTCAAATGAAAAAGTTCTTGCCTGCGAAGAATATTGAGCAGGTCACTTGCGACCGCTTCCCTATCCTCGGCGACCTGGTGTTCATCGATACTACCTTGCAAAGCCGTAATGAGTTCATCGCGGTATTGCTCCACCACGAATCGAACGAGTTGCTTGATCAACAGAGTTAACGGGATTTTAAGCGGCGCTGCTTTATAGTGACAACTCACTTGAGTCACATAAAGATTTGCCTGCATGACAAGGAACGGGTTCAGGGCGTTCGCACGTGAAGCTTTGGGGTTTTCGAAGAAGTCCTTGACCTCCGCGAACGTAGCTTGTCTGAACCCAGCGCCATCGCACTCCGCTGGAAGGCGGCTGTGCCGACGCGTTTGTTTCAGCCTCAGGGGCTCTGGTGTGTGGATGAGGGCCCCCATAATGCGTGAGTGTAAAGATTGGACCTCCTCCAGTCTCGCCGTTGCAAATTGGCCCTGTGGAGGCGACCGTTTATCCACTCTGATACGAACTAATATTTCACCGAGAAGTGCAAAAATCCTGGAGATGTAGTTTAATCCTGAGACCAGGGCTGTCTTGCCACGCGGCTGAGGCAGGTATGCACTGCGAATGATGCTCAAAAGAGAAGTCACAAAATGATAAGCTTGGTTGATTCTCGGGCGAAAAGAAAAGTGACCTACTACTCGTCATCGAGTTCCTTGGGGAAGTGGACAGTGCAATCTTCATCGCGAAGACATATGGGACGCCCCAAGAGAATCGACATCGACTTGTCAGCTGCAGATCATTTATTTTGTGCGTATTCAAACATGATCGATGAATGATACAGAATGAGATAATCCAACACGTACCATCAAAAAGTAACCAGAATGTTCGCCGTCTGACCTCGCATTCAATGGGGTCAAGCCCCTCGTAGGATGACTCCTCGTGCATGCGCAGAGTAACAGCAATATGAGCCGCTTCGCCGAAGGCCGCGTGCTGCGCGGCATCATTACCTTCGCAAAAATGGTAGATACAGTCGCTGGCAATAATGAATTGAGGTAGTCATGAAAAATAACCGAACCACGCACAAATATCGGATAATAACGTGCATAGACATGGGAGGGTCGTAGGCTGCAGTAGTGATATGTCGGCTGGCTTCATAACATCTCTGCGCAAGCTTTCGCACAACAGAGCGCTCCATGGGTACATAAGATCGTGGTACTTGTACCAAGGTTGATGCCACTGTGGACATGACAAGAGCAAAAAATAGCGGGTCGCGTTCCTCTCTCTTGGTGTGCAGGTCGGCCATGAACGATGGCTTGTGGATACATGGGGTTAGCGGATACACGAAATCGAAGAAAAGAGCGATAATGAGTGAAATACTGTCCCGGGGAGCGATATCTTCCAGGCGGTGATGTCGGTAATAATATGAAAGTGGGGGTATGACATTCGGAAGTAGAACCGGGAGGGACTGAGGTTGTTTATAAGACCAACTGTATGCGGGAAATCCGCCATATGTCTCGGAAAAGGGGTATGATTGATTATCGTCTGTCTTCTGAGGGAGTAGGGCGCTACTAGTTGATGTCGGGAGAATCGTATTAACAGGAGAGTAATGATTGTGATATGAGTCGGCCGCGATAGGGTATCGAGATGGCGAGATAATGGGAGCAGAAGTCTGTATTGGGGCCATGATGGGTTCCAGGGAAGGGGGCTGTATGTGCTGCTGCAATGGGGATAGACTTGGATGTATTGGGCTGGCAAGGGATTGGTGAGCAGAGATAGGCGATATTGATGCAACATCGTTTATTTGATTATTCTGCTCAGATTGAGCTGCAACAGCGGCAGCGGCAGCTTCTTGTAAACGACGGAGATATCTAAGGATCTAGCATTGGTATCAGGGGAAGGGTGTGGCCCTTGGGGGGCACTTACAAGTTGGGAGGTCCTCTCTTTTTTGGTCTGTAATCGTAAGTGCAGGGTATTCCAAGCGCTACGCAGTGTTTGCATGACTGCTTTGAATCTTCTAGATTCTCCCGGACGCATCGAACCTTTCTGGCTCTACAAGCATCACAGCCTGTTCGAAAGAAGCGAAGGAGTAACTCAATCTCGATCATCTTTGGAGAAATGAGCGCTAAAACGTACTCTGAGATTGCCGCCTGTTGAAAGCAGAAGGGGATTTGAAGTCAGAACATTGAATCTTTACCAAAGCAGAGAAAAAAATGACATGACAAGCTTGCTATTTGCACCGATAGTATTGGATCAGGCTGGACTCGGCTACGAAGTTTATATGAATCGGGTTCGACGCAAAGGAGGTAGGAATGAATGGGATGGGGAACAGTTTGAAGCTCAACGGAGAAACATCGGTCTTTATGAGGACTCGGACGCACTTTCTCTGGCCTCTGCTGTTTTCGGCGGTTGTAGATTCGTTTGGACTTGCGTCGCACGATGTAGGCGAGACAGATTTAGCGTCTTTTTTTGCTCGCACAGCAGGCATGCGTGACAATGAAACTCTGAGAGGTGCTGATGGAGACGGAACCGGAAACGAGTGAGTTCTCGTAGTTACGGTGATTAATGAGAGTACTTGGTTAGTAATTCTCGTGTGCTTTTCTTGGCAGTAGGGTAAGATATTATAGGCCCAGGTACGCCGGCTCCCAGCTAGACAAAATTAAGACAAGAGCTCGAGTGCACGACCAAAGATACACGGCCCGTTTACCCCGCACCCAATTTAGGAAGTATCAAAATACACACAAATAACCGCCCATTCGCGCCTCCACATGTGGCAGCCAACGATATGTACCACACTAAGGTAATTTCGCGATTTCAGATACTCGTTGTCATTATGTAGGGTGAATAGTTTATGTCTACAATTTGCGATCCGCATAACGATCTACAACAATACCCTCCTCTCTCTCAACTGAGCTAGCATCTGTCGACCACGACTCCGACTCAGCGCACCTTCTTGGCAATGTCGTTGAATCATATCGGCAATAAGCCGTCGTTGAAACACCTGTTTCCTGTCCCCCCATTCAGTCTTCTCCTTCACCAGCGTCTCCCAGAACTTGAACGCCATCACAGGGTCATCAAGGCGGAGTGATGCAAAAATGCAGTATTTCCCGGTGTTGGGCGTGTGCACGACGCTCGAGACGTCCCCTGATTGAATGATCTCCCAGGCGCGCTGTAGATTCTCCTTCAAAATAGACTTGGGAGCCCCGTCCGCATTGACACTCGCCCTTATAAGCGAAGCAGTGGTTTTGGCTGACAGCTCCTCGCAACCAAGCTCCTTGGCACGACCAATTAAGTAGCCTGCAAGCCTCATCTCGCCATGAAGGATGGCATGATGAATGATGGTTCCAAACGTCACTGCATCAGGGCGTATGCCTCGTTCAACCATCTTTTTCAGGATGCCCACTGCCTTCTTCGGATGAAGTTCAGCCATGGCGGATAGTGCGATGTTAATATCGTAGAGATCTGGAATTTCGTAGCGCTGAAGTAGAGCTTTGAGCATATCCAGACCTTCGGAAACACGCCCAAGTGCAATGTAGGCACGAGCCAATGAGCTCAAATCATAATGAGACGTTTCCTCTGGAGAGCCTTTCGACATGCGAAAAGCGCCAACGACCTGTTCGGCGAACTGGAGCAAGTGTTCCAATAGCTTCTGCCGCTCGTCGAGCGTCGAAGCTGTGCTTGGCCTACCCTCGTCTTGACTTGATGTTGGCTCCTCTATCTCGGCCTTGGTGTGATATATGAGTTTGGAAAAGATGCTGACCATTCGAAGCATCAAGGAAGCGTTGCCAAGGACCGCTTCGCGATCCCTTCCGACGGAATAACGCTCCCACAGTGTGCGTGCGGAGGAGGAGAAACCATGGGATGCAGTGAGGGCAATGAAATGAGCCCGGTCTTGCACTGGTATTGGCTCCATCTCGTCGATGACTTGCTTGGCTAATGTCCGAGCCAGGTGTATGTTGTGGCTGGTGATCGTAAGATGATTCATGAGCCACGTTAATGAATATCCTCGTGGAAGAGGGTACTTCATCCTCCGAATGACTCTTGGGGATTGTGTATTTTTGTAGAGAATCTCCGCGGATGGACCATCCAGCAAATGCATGGCTTTGTCGTAGAATAGGCGAACCATGCTATCTGGGACGATAACACTGTCGGCGGAATTAATGAGATGACACATAAGCCATGTACATTGCTTGAAATAATTGGTAGATGCGTTATGCAGAGCAAGGTGTAGCGTGCTAAGCGCCAGTTCAGTGAGTGCGATATCAGTAGAACCCTGAGTCCGGATTGCAGTGACCACGATGTCGAGTGCACGATGATACCAGCCCCAGTGAAGACAGGCTCTGACCAATGTCGACCTGACCACAAAGGCGAAATTGTTGTCCTTTGCAGACGTATGATACACTTCTGTGAAGGCTTCTGCTGGGATATGGCAAGTCTCGGTGAGAGTCTGGAAGAGGCGGAGCGCATGCCTGTCTCGGTCGAATATGATCAACTTATGAACCAGGCCGAAAGCTATGAAAACATCGCCCGGAGGGCGATAGGACATAGACTTCGCACCTTTGGGCGCGGATTGGTTTGTAAGAGATTGATGGAAGATAGGGAGGAGGATATCCACGGCCTTTACATCGTACGGATCTATGCCGGGGTTGTCGACAACACACTTGACTAATGCGGAGATAGTCACGGAACTTAATTCAGAAAGTGCGTGGAATTGATAAAGGAGATTGAGGAGGGAGTAAATTTTCTGCTTGTCAAGAATGGGCGGATTGTGGTATGTCCCTGACAGCAACGCCGTAGCGACTCGGAGCTGGCGGTTTGAGGTGGTGATAATCCCGTCCAGTAAGTCTGTAGCAATACCATCCACGATAGTCGATAGTCCATGCTTTGTGGCCTTCTCAGAGAGAGCGACAAGAATGGGGAGCGGTAAAGACGCGGCCAGCGTTTTATCTTGTGCTCGCAGTTCCGCGTAGGCCGCAAATGGGTCGGGTAGAGCTTCCACCATTTTCTCCACTTTTGCAGACCTCTTCTGCACCTGTGGAGGTAACCATGTTGAAATGCACGCAACTCTTTCCAACAGCTCTTTCTCAACACGGGAAGTACGGTGAAGCATAGGCGCCAAGTCCACAGCCTCCGGCAAGGCATTATGCACAGTGTCATTGGCAAGTCTCGAGTGAGATACAGCTTTGCCACGGATCTGGCTGCCAATTAATTGTTGCGCGTAAACACGGATCGGGGTGTGTACTCGAGGAAGTAAACGGCGACAAAGTAACATAAGTTAGCTGTCTCAGATGAATATCAGCTCAGACCATGATAAATTACAAAACAAGCGGACTGGCTCACCGCATGCCGCATGGAGTCAGTCGACGAAATAGTATCGACACCCCGAATGAACGCGACTCGCGCTTTGTAGAAGAAAATTTGGTGTAGGGTTCAAGGAGGGTTAAAAGCAAATAATGACAAACAATGTATTTAGTACTACTGTCTCGAACACCGTTGCAATTGATGTAGTAAGACTTAAAGTTTCTCTGTGGACTCTATGGGAGCAGGACAATCATCGGCATCTGCAGCACAGGCACAAAAATCCCATGCCTTGCATGTCTTACGAGTCACGCCTTCATCACCAGCCTCGCAGACGTCTATAGAGCCATTCTTCGACTTCATCGTTGGCTTCGATGGCAGTGACGCTTTCTACGCTGAGAGCGACATAGATGCTACAGAGCTCGAAAGGATAGTAGAAGAACACGAGGAGAAGACGCTTAATCTTTTAGTCTGGAATAGTAAAACGCGCACAACTCGAGGTGTGTCTAGTCTCAAACGATATGCTTATGGCGTTAGTAATGTGATTAAACTTAGTTGTACCAATTGTTCCCTCGCGGGCTTGGGCTTTGGCACAACAAGCATCGATCCCACAAGATGACGTTGAGAACTCTCCCCAGCCTTCCTTGTTGGGTTTGAGCATGCGGATGTGCGAATTCGAGAATGCGACGAACAATGTTTGGCACGTTCTTGAAGTCCTAGAAGGAAGTCCAGCAGAAAGTGCCGGTCTTGTCCCATACGGTGACTGGATAATAGGATGGTCCGGCGGCATATTGACCGCGGAGAACGATTTTTACGATGTCGTGGAAGCTGTATGACATTCTCTGGGTTTTGTACTATTTTGGGCCGCTAAACATTTTGTATTCACAGCATGTTGACAAGCCGTTGCGAGTTTATGTTTATTCATATGACTTCGAGTACGTTCAGGTGCTGTAGATTGTGTCTTGCATTTCTCTGACCTGTCACTTCTCAGTAATCTCAGAGAGGTTGTACTAGTGCCCAATCGCCATTGGGGTGGCGAAGGACTGTTAGGATGTGTTTTTGGGTCTGTTTATATATATAATATTCAAAGAGATCACTAGACTGACTATTTTTGATAGTTTTGGACTTCTCCACCGCATTCCGTCGCAGACGGCGGACGGCCTATCAAGCGCTGGCGCCCAGAATTCTCATAGCGACCTTGAGGATCAGCAGGTCTTTGTTCCTGCCGATGTTTCACAAGGTTCACGATGTTTCGAGTTAGGGGATCGGAGACATCCTTCTTTCGGAGTTCACCAGCGCCCAAGTGACATTGCACATCCTCGTCCCACCCGCTACAACGAAGCTACGCAAGGGCGACGATCCGCTGGCGACGTGCTCCGGCGTGACTCAGCATCAACTGCTTCACGTCCTGGGACACCGAGACGGTCCACAAACACGCCGAATCTCGTATCACAGACACCGAGCTCCAGCCGTTCATTTGGCTCCCTCCTCAATGGTGATTCGTCACCCCGCTCATAGTTTCGTTCTCACTCAAGGATCTACACACATCAAGGTACTGGAGTGACAGCAATATTTTCTGGTCCAAACCCAAGAGCCCTCCAGTTCAGTACTAGTATGTCTACGGTTACCGGAAAGTCACAAGACAATGAAGATGAGGGAGACAGTGATCACGATGGAACGGTCAGCGTATCTGGAACGGAAGCCACGGATTATGGTAGTCTGACCTCTGTTGAATGATGACCGAATGGCGCATAATCGAATACATCTGACTATTTAGAGCCACGTTACTATAACCAGGTGTACTACACTAGTACACCGAGCTCTAGGATTTCGTTCACATCTATCACTCATCGAACGTTGTACGACATATTATTCATTTACAGGTTCATTCTGCCTTCTGTGTCTGATCATCGAGCTTTCGAACTACCTTGAAAAAGCGGCACTTTCTGCGCGCTACATTCTGCGTGTTGATCTGTCAAATGTCTCAGCTGTGAAACAGGCGCTCACTCGCCGTCAAAAACAAGGGGAAAGTGTCATTAAATATATCAGCATTTTCTCTAACTTTGCCCTGCTGCAATTTGCAAAGACGACATCAGATTCGGAGAATCCAGGTTGATTGCCACCGAATAGAGGTCAATAACCTTCAATACTATACCTCACGGCAGAGTCGTCACCCCCACAAGTCGTCAGGTCACGCTTTTGTCACAGCAGGCCGCTGCTGCCGCTTTCAAAATCCGCTCGGCAATGCCTAAGAAATTCGACAGGTCAAAAATGATGATTATGATTGGTTGGTGCGATGTGGAATATAGTATGGGATGTGGTTGTAATTATAATGGCTGTTGTTGGAAGTTCAAACTAAGATACACGTCTCAGCGTTGCAGGAAGAAGCGCTATAACATTAATAGTACCTAAGATACTAGTGATGTAAAAGTTCGGTCCTGGACCGCGGTTCGAACCGGATTTTTAGTGGACCGAACCGCGGTCCAGTCCGACGTTCGACGGCCGGAAAGAACCGAACCGGGTGTTCAGTTCAACGTTCAGCAGTCCTTGGACTGTTTTGAACGTGTTCGAACACGTCCGAACGCATACTTATTTTTTGCATGATGACTCAGCAACTTCATCGATATCCACCATCGATAAGCGTTGCCATCATCACACTTCACACAGATCGGTCGTCGTCATTAAATAACCTTGCGAATAAACTCAGCATCCATCTATTTGATTTAACACTTAATAGAGAAGACCAATAGAGAAGACCTCAATGAGTCACGAGACGACCTACACTGTAAGTAAATCTTTCACACAATAATGTTTGATCAACTACTAATACTTGTGTTGCGAAGACCTCTGATCACAAAGCTCGATAAAGCAAGAACACGGACTGGGACCACAGTGAGTTCCCTGACTTTCTCCCCCTCAATATGTCAAATAACCAAAGCGCTGTAGGTGCCGATGGTGCTCTTCTTGATGCCGGTGATATCACCTGGTTTCACGATGCTGATGATGATACTCTGCTCCCTACTTCTCGTATGCCTTTGCCACCCCCTGCCATCATGATTGCTGGCTCACGTCGCTCTGCTCGTGTTCCACGCCCTGCCTCCAAGCTTATTGACCCCAACAATGCTGTCTTGGGCAAACGCAAAGCTACTGGACAGCGAGTGGTACTTACTGAGGATGAATCTGAAGATGCAGTTGCCGAAGACCCTGAGTGGGATGACGCCGACGAAGTACTAACTGATGCAGGTACTGCAACTGACATGGATACATGTACTGATGACGACACCCCATCAACATATCAACAAACTAAAGAGATGGGTGACGCAGACCGTGAGGTAAGTGAACTCTCCATTCAATTTTTCGTCCAACTTAACTTATTCTTTGTGCAGGGTGCCAAACGGCGTAAAAGTGACTTGACCGCCGACATTCGTACAATATTCACTCGTGAGTCGAACACTATCAACTTCGATACTGGAAAGGAAGAGGATGGGCACTGGTGTGAGGTCTGCAAGTAAGTTTTGAATGCTGTGTCGTTGTTGTTACTTATCTAACATCACTTTCAACAGGGCAAATGGTCTTGCTTGGAAGTTTAGTTTTTTGAAGGGCAGTGTCACTTCCCTTCGAGCTCATATTTGGAGGTAAGCTTTCAATTTGCTACTGATGTACCCTACCTCACATATCTCAGGCATAAGGACCACACAAAGCTCTACAAAGATCGATGCTGCAAGCGTGGAATCCAGCCACATATGCGTGCATTACCTGCGGATGATGTACCGTACACAATTCATTGTGTCCCACTACTCAATCTAAGATTCTAACGAAACTTTTTTTAACAGCTCTAATCAGAAGACATTGGACAGCGCAGTTGTAAGAGAGCATTGAGCACCGGCATTTACCACTGCTGGATTGCTGGACTACATAGTCGAACTGATTGTTGCTGAAGACGAAGCATTTCAACTCGTCGACAAAGGCGCTTTTCGGCGACTTCTCACATACACTCGCCCCAGCCTTTCTGACAAAGATATCCCTCGACGTCATAAGATACGGGAAGAGATTGTTCACCGTGCTCAAATGGTTGAGTCCCGGATCCGCGAGCATCTTAAGGACATTCCTGGGCGAGTGTCCTTCACATTTGATTCTTGGACTTCGGACAGCGGCAATCCATACTTGTCGGTCACAGGTCACTACATCGACGCACCCATGGACACCCCACATGAGTGGGAACTTAAGTGCGATCAGCTCGCTTTCACTTCCATTGAAGGGAATCACTCAGAAGAGAACATCGGCAACATTCTTGTTCGAATTGTGGACCGTTTTGGGTTGCAAAAGAAGGTAACGTACTCTATTGGTTGTATCATGATTGAACTAACGCAAAATCACATAGATCGGGTGGTTTACAGCTGACAATGCGACGAACAACGATTCAGCCATCAATGGTTCTTGAAGCCGGGATCGAAGACCATCATTAGCGTAGAGTTAGGTGTATGGAGCATGCGATCAATGTGGCCGCAGGTCATTTTTCACAGGCAATTGGACCTACGAGCAGCTCGAAACTTGGTGCTGGCAACGACAATGACAACGATGATGATGACGACAATTCCGACACATCTGATGCACTCGGGAAGGCTCTTGCGCTCATTGTGCAGGTGTGTGACGCTACTCATTGTTGAAGTGAACATCACTAATATTATTTGACTAGATCCGAAAGTCACCTCAAGCTCGTGCGTTTTTCCGCCAATCATGCGCTGAGGTCAATGTGCCTGTCCTTGAGCTTCTACAGTGGGTCCGGACTCGGTGGGCCTCACTCTTCACATGCCTCACTCGCCTTCTTCTGTTGCAGAAGGTGCGCTTTTTTTTCAATAACCAATATCATACTAATCATTTGCAGGGTGTCAACCGCTTCGTACGTCTTGCTGATGACAGCGATGATGTGCCGAACTTGCGAAAGAAGCAGTATGCTGACTTCAAGTTAAGTCAAAGTGATTGGGTCCAGCTTTCGCTTCTCCGAGAAGTCCTTCAGGTGCAGTGTTAACTTGTCTTCGAGTCTTCTATATCTAACTGTTGCACTGTCTTACAGGAGCCTGCCAACGCTACTCAAAGTTTTTCTAGCGCAAAGAATCCAACAGTCTGGCGAGCAATTCCAGTGTTGGAGTTCTTGCAGCAAAGCTGGCAAAATATGGCAGATGACGAGAAGTTCTCCAGCATTGCTGACGCATTACAAGCTGGCCTTGAGAATTTGGGGAAGTGGAGCCGGAAAACGGACGAGACGGACATGTACTTTATTTGCTTGGGTGCATCTCCATATACTCAATAATTCTATCATCGACTGATACATGCATTGAACAGCTCTAGATCCTAACTACAAACTCGAGTACGCACGAGCACAATGGGACGCAGACGCCTTTGATGAAGGGAAGAAAAAGCTTGAAGCTGCAGTAAGTCAGGCTACCATCGCAGTCAAACATTGTTACTAACTGTTCTACAGTTCGACTATTATCACGCGCCGGTTACACCTCAGCCCTCACCATCCGAACCCATTCCATCAGCGTCCAGTCAACCACCCACACAATATGGGCACTCGTGGATGCGATCAGCGATTCTAGCTCACCAATCATCTGAAAAAAGCATCGCCGATCCACGTCACGAACTCGCCCTATACTTAACTAGCCCATTGGAGGAGGTGGCTGATGTGGTTCGCTGGTGGGGGGTAAGTACATATTGTATTGACCGGCCTTTGTTGATGTGCTTGCTCTAGCATCATTCCACCATGTACCCCACCCTTTCACGCATGGCAAGAGATTACCTTGCTATTCAAGGCTCTTCAACGCCGTCAGAATGGGCCTTCTCAAGTGGTGGCATGACAGATGATAGTCGACGCAACCGGCTTACACCTCAGGTCTTCGAGGCACTGCAATTGTTGAAGAGTGCCTACCGTAATGGGCATCTACAGGCTGCAACTGATGCAACAGCGCATGTCGAGCCTGATGCTAGTGTAGGTGCTACTGACATGTATAGTACATGTTGTTTTGATATTGCTGCAATCCCAAGTCTCTTTCGCATGCATCGAGTCGGAGACGTTCAGCGTCCGAACGCCAAACTGAACGTGAACTGAATGTCCCGAACGCGTTTGACTACGTTCGGTCCAGCGTTCAGCAAAATTGCCGAACCGAACGCAACGTCCAGTTCAGCATTCACCAATTTTCCTGGTGAACCGGACTGAACCGGACTTTTCCATCACTATAAGATACATGTCTGCATCAGCAAACTACTATGTTCTGTGCAGTTCTGTACAAAACTGCACAGTGCCCCAGTGCCACAGCTTGGTCCCGACTTTACAGACCTGGACAGCGGCCTCTCGTTCTGTGGAGTTCTGTACAGAACTCCACAGTGTACCCTGCTGGACCCAGCAATCACCTATAATCTCAAAATACTAGAATAAATCTTCTGTGGGTTTCCGGTCTCACTGGGAACAGACGAAATTCCAATTCATGAATGGGATATATTGATTAGATAACAAAAAACAGTGCAGTACATCCAATAATACAATCGGTAGAAAAACTGCAAGCGAGCTACAAGCGGGAGAAATAAGCGACCTCAATCAAGCACGATCTCGATATCAACATTGTGGGGCGCTTCGTCGCCATCGACTTTGCAACACGCGGCCCTAAATGAATACAGTTAGCATGCTAAACTCATTGGACGAGAGTATATCCTTGCCATCCAGCCTCAGCCCACGATTGGAGCTGCTCGACCAGCTTGGGACCATGATAAGGGTCTCTCATGATATGTTCGAGTGACTTCAGTGCATATTTGTAGGTCAGGCCATATTCCTTGGCGGTGAATTTCGGGAACGATTGTCCACTGCCGTTTTTGATGAGGCCATCGAGAACACAAACGAACTATGAAAAAAGTCAGTCTGTCATCGAATGTAAAAATAAAATTGAGAAAATACCGCAGCACAGACTAAAGCCAAGCATGACAACGGCAACTGCTTGCTGAAAATGTCTGGATGTCTTCGAACAATTCTATATGGGCCAGTGTACATGAACGTGATGATGGTATCACGAAGCACAGGGTTGGCAAAGTTTCGCGTTTTTCCCTGCAGTGCCTTGTTATTTAGATGTTCATGAGATTGTACCTTAACAAACCTGTTCATCCACACCATCGCATAGAAACTTCGAGCCCGCCTTTAGCCCGGCAGCTGCACCTTCTACCCACGAAGCACGTTCTTGAGGTGGGATGTTTGACGGGGGCATGAGACCAGGTATGGTTGAGGCAATCACAACGACATTCTTCTTGAGCTCAGAGCGCCATGTCGAGAGATCTTCATATAACTGGATGCCAGGAAGTATGAGGAAATAACGAGAAAAAGCCAATGACAATACACTTATGAGCTTTGCCATATCGGGCTTGTGACCAGGCCAATAACCTGGTACTTGCGTCAGATACACGTGCCCTGGAGAATATCAAAGCTTACCAGGTTCAAATTGTTTACCGGCTTCATCCCACTGAACAAGAACAGCTAGAAGGGCCTCAGCGATAGAACCCGGTGAGTCCTTAACAAGAGCTGGGAACGGGTTCTCTAGTGCATGTTGTGCACGACACACTCCTTTGGCGTCCTCGAGGAAATTCTTCCAGTGGGCTGGGTAGAACGACAGCTGTGTGGGTTTCGGCCCATGTCTGCCTTTAGCTGGTTGCTGCTTGTCGTCCGGATCCTCATCGTTCGTCAGATCCTTTTTCCTGGCTACATGGCATAAGAGCTCTAGGGAAGCAGGGTCGGGAAGATGAGGTCACCCATTTGTCTTGTGATGCTGACCTAAGACGTCGTCAGCTACATCTTCAGGCTGGGAATGAGTTAGTTGTTGAGCGCTTGGGTATGTACTACCGGACGGATGCCATACCTGAGAGCCATCAGATTCCTGAATACCTTGAGATACGTCGACAGACTGATGCCGCACCTGAGAACCGAGCTCAGAGACTTCGGGGGCACATTGAGCACCCTCCGGGGCACCCTCATTACTCAATGGACTGTTGAAAGCTAATGCTTGCTTGGCATTCATGTCATCATCGTCGCGGGAGTATTGAAATTCGAAGTCGGGAGCAAGAATGGAGGTAGCATGGACCGGGGAAGGTTCTGGTTCCCGAGAAAAACCTGCAAAGCGATCAGGGTGACCACTGTGATCATCACATGTGAAGATGACATTTACCTGGGTGCGCACTATGGCGCCCGCCAACCTCAGCCCAACCAAACTCCCTTTCACCAGCATTATCAATATTAGCAGGATCATCACTATCTTCACCACTCGCACTACTTTCATCAGAGCTTGAAGTATTTGAATCTTCGGAATTGGGATGTTGCAAGGAGATGTTAGTCCTATGCTCATAACTGACCGTTCGTAGAGACGGATCCAAATGTTCCTCGGAAAAAGTCAGAAGGACCCGCGCACTGGACAAAGGACGTGAAGGTAAGCCTAAGGTAGCTACCGGTAAAGCTGACACTGATCGCAGAAGATTGGATGGCCCACTGGAAGAAGACTGATGGCCTCCAGTAAGGCTTTGCGCAGCGCTGCGGGCATGATTCTCAGCATCTTTCTTAGTCATTGTCATATAAGGATTGTTGATTGCTTGCAGATCTGGCTCTGTTCCAGGTGGTACGATTGGTGGGTTGCCTTGAGGTATTTGAAATCCAAAGTGTCCACCCATTTCGCGCAACGACAAACTCGGTTGCAATGATGCATGGCTTGGCTCGTGAGTGACACCCTCATGTATAAATGAATACTTGATTTAAATACAAAAATAATGTTTCTCACCGGTTCAACTTGTGAGTAGGGGGCAGAAGATGTCTATTTGATTGATCATTGCATCACCAGGTATGAACAAAGACAAAAATGCCTCACCTTGGCTTTCTTTCCTTTCCTACGGGAACTTGCGACAGCAGAGCCTGTACTGTCTGCGATACTATACGGCGGAGGAGGCTTCTAAATATTTGACATCAGCCCCAACTGTTCAGATAGAAACTTGAGCTTACTGGTGGATGGCCACGGCCTTTTCGACGTGGTTCAGGAGCAAGAGGGTTTGCTGAGATATTTGGTGTGAGGGTCGTGGAGCCCTTAGGTAGGTTTGTCCGTGTTGGGGCCTCCAGAACTGCACCAACTTTCTCTAGTTGAGCATTCCTTCCACCTGTACCTGCACCAGGGCGACCAGAACGACGAATTGGAGCGTTGATATCGGAAGTTAGCTGCAGCGACACCAAACCAGCTTTATCTGCTGCCCGCACCTTCTTTCCTTGCCCAGTGACTGCTGTGATATCAGATTCTGCGACTTTGCACTTTGCCTTCACTCTTTTGGGGCTAGACGTAGCTCGGGAGCGAGGGGGCATGATTGACACTAACAAAGGGTAGGAATGCCAGAAGGGAAATAAGCGACAAGACTCGGACAAAACTCACTCAACTCTTAAGGGACTTGACTGAACCGAGTAACTTATCATACTTATGACTCGACCGGCAGTGAGTGTCCGCATTTTTGGAGGAATATAGTCGAATGGGGGATCACATGAGGGGAATGAGGAGTTCAACGTTGCAACATTAGTAATATTACTAGTGATAATTTGCCAGGCCTTTCAAGTTTCCAAAGTCGTGGGAACAGCTGCGATAAGTCACTAGCTAGTAGTACTTTTGAGTTACATAGTACTGTAACGTATCACTAGTATTGCAATGTGAGAACATAAAAACTTCGTGATATACTGCTGCGTACACAAGTGAGATCAAAATTGATGACAAAATCAGCCTAGCTACTCTGAGTTCGATAACTTGCTCCTCTTCACAGATTCGACAGTCCACCCATCATTCAGACCGCGTTTCTTCACTGGGATCTGGTGGCTCATCTTTTCTATGATTGTTCCCAATGCATGTACGTCCTTCACATTCTTGTCTGTCAACCTCTTGCGCAACAATTGTTCGGGGGACAGCTCAGGCGCACCCTTGAGTCCAGCGATGTGTTTGTCCAAGATCTTGAGCAGTGCATCGAATTCGATGGGTCGGTGGAGAGCCTGGCTGTTGACACTGCCAACCTGAACCGGGAAATTGAGCCTTAGGAGGTCCATCCACTCCAGTGCAAGCGGAATAAGATCCTTGAAGTAGTCGTTGAACTGCATTGTGATTGCAGCTTTGCCATCGTCCGTTGTATAGAATGACACTTTGGTATCAAAGCATCCGGCGATACTCCGGTTGCTCCACGCATGTGGAAGCCATGCTTTCGAAGCGTTCAAATGGCGCTCCATGCCAAGTGGGCCGCTGTATCCAATGCAGACCCAAGAAAAGACGTAAAACAGTGATTCAAGATCATCTGAATAGTCTTGCTTGACGGATCCAATTGCCAAAGGTGACGATGATGACACCCCTTTTCTTGCAGTGCTGGGCACTATGATATTTTTCAGTTGCTGCAGGAGCCGCCACGACATGAACGGAACTGTGCCCTGCAAGTTAAGTCAGTAGATTTACTCCTGAATCAATCGTACACTCACTGTCCCACCGATGGCGTAGTTGTTCTCCGGGGTGACAAGTACAGCAAATTCCCAGTCAATTAACATTCCAAGGCTATCATCATCGGCATCCTCAATTATCGCATTGTTGAGGCTGCAATCACGATGCAAAATACCTCGTGCATGCGCTTCCTGTTGAACTGGGAGATCACTCCCTAGTTAGTATCAACATACTATATATTTGGAAGGAGATATGCTTACTGGCAATGATGTCACGTATAGCTCGAATAAATTCCAACTTTGTTCGAAATTTATGTAAAGGTCGCCCTTGGGGCTTCATGATGAGGCGAGAATGAGTGTGCCAAGTGTTGACTAAGCTGGGCAGCTCTCGATAGTGGTAAATCTTCGTATTGTCGACCTCACCGGTCGACAGCTTAACTTTGCTGAATTCTACGAGTTCTGGGACACCACGGACACCCTGCATCTTCTTCAACATAATGACCTCATTTAAGGTATCTTCATCGTCTGCATTTCCAAGGACCCAGTGGTCCTTGATGATGTACTCTTGGTCGTCCTTCCTGGCCAAGTAGCAAATGGTGCCATGACCAACCAGGCCATGACTCGAAAATATGACCTCTAGGATATCGTACCAGTTGTCGTTGACTTGAATTTTACCGATCGGCGACGAATTCGGAGGAACAGAAGTTTGGGCAATAAAAGGAACTAGTGGGGTAGAAATGGCCGAGGGAGGCAGCTCAGAGGGGAGTGCAGGAGGACCAGTCCTGATATCAGGCCGCTCATCTAGCTCGAGGGAGGAGAATATGCTTGATGGGGAATCGCCACCAGAAGTCTGTGGGGGCGAAGGTTTGTATGATGAAGCTGACTTGTATCCTGACTCCCGGCTGGAAGCTTCATCTGACTCGCCTGACTCCTCACCTGAGGCCGCATCTCCTGACTTGGCCAGTGTACCAGATGTACCCTGAGTGATGACCCTCTTTGTCAGAGCACGCAATCTCCTGGGAGGACGAGAACGATGTGATAGTACAGGGAGTTTAAGCTGTCGAATGTTCATCGTCGTATCGAAACCGATGCACTCATCATTGCCAAAGACGATAGACGAGAGGATTTGCAGAAATTTGTCCTTCTGTTGGTCGATATGGAATGGAGGTGATACAGCAGAACCAGAGTGGTCGTATACGTGAATACGAAGTTCACGATAGTGATTACATAGAGATAGCATGAGAGCGAAGCGCCTCCAGGGCTGGTCCTTCAAGATAATATATGCCTTGGTGTCGCGGGATTTCGCGGCACACTTCCCTGGCCGGTACTTGCTCTTTGTCACCTCAGCAACGACCTTGATGCCTGCCCATCCAGAATTAGGTTCATCTGACATAATGATGTCAGGTTTGCGGGGGATGTCTTCTCCCTTTATTGCTGTGGTTGAGTGCGCCCCACTCCATACACGATTAGCTTGATTAGCTTTGAGTCCGTGTCGAGAAAGTGCCACTGTAAGGGCGTTCCAAAGCCCCGCAACTACGTTTTCAAGGGTCGAGTTTGAATTAGAAGTGCTGCCTCTGCCAGGCGCCTCACTCTCCCCCCCGGCAGTCTCCCCTCACGTCTTTCACCCTTTTTACTCTTTTTGTGCTCTCATTTGGGTGGATCCGGTAGCCCCCAGTTCCAACTCTTCACCTTACTATCCCACAGTTCTACAAAGTCTGTGGGTTCATGCTGATGGAATTGATGGTTGATCCGCTCATTAGAATATCGAATTTGAGAGAGAGGGATCCGAAGGTCCTCTGCACAAGGCGCTTGAACTTTGAAGGATTGGAATATTACAGATAGAAGATGTCCGAGGGGGGTGCTTTGTTTTATGCAACTCGCAGGCTCCTCGAGAACCAGCTGATTCAGTTCTTGGGTGGTTAGCTTATCCATCATCGGCACATCATGAATGAGAGGAATTTTGACAAAAGATGATAGTTTTATTCCAAGTGCTATTGTTGAGAAGTACTGTTTCAACCCCGATTTTGATTTTGAGTTGGAGTTGGAGGGCATTGCATGCACTGACGAATGAGTATGACGACCGAGACGTCAAAGGTTGGCATGGAATATGCCATGCGGATCTCTTATCGACCGAACATGACGCACAAAGACTACCATAAGTGAAAAAACCCAAACTGTTCTAAAAATACTACATTGAAAGAGGAAAGTAAGAGTTTTTGTCCCAAAAACAATTTAGCCATAACTCTGACGCATGCTCGACACTATTATATGCGGTAAGGTGATTATCTGCAGCAGCACCGAACTGAGGAACAAGATTAACGGGCGCACGCACTTGTGAGATTGGTACGACATCTCCCATGCAAGTCCCATTAGACCATTTTGCCCTTTTGAGCACATACATCTGCATAGTTGGTTCACGGACACCAATGATATCGAAGCGATGAACATAGGTAAGAAACTGATCTTGCCATACCCATTGTGTGCCAGTCTTGCCGAGGGGACGAAAAATAAGTCTTATTTGGGTGACAGTGTGCCCTGAGAGATGAGGTTAATAACGAGCATCGGGGAAGGACAAATAAGTTGTGACGTGCCTTGAAGACCGCTAGTAGGCCACGAGTGTTCTGCTTCGGTGTTGACAATGATTGAATCATAATGTCCGTGTGTCCAAGGTTCACTTGATGGTGCGCAATTGATAGTCTGAGCTGGTCGAATATTGTGAACATCGTGGAACTCCGTGTCTTGCAAGCGAAGTTTGAACCATACTTGAACTTTCTCGAAAGGAAGCACAGCGTTAGGTCCAGCTCTCCTAGGGCCGCCTATTGCATGAATGTGGTCACGTTCGGAACTGGCCTCATGATGCAGAAAATCGGATAGTGCTGGTCGCAAATCTGGCAGGTTAAATTTGAGGGCGACATCATCAACACTGATGTTTCGGATGGAAGGATCATAGCCTAAATGAAAGGCAATGCGCCCAATGACAAAGGAACATAATGGTAGAGGTACGGAGCCCACAGGTTTGTGCTGCAGTACGTGGGCGATTGCGAAATAATTCGTGATTGGACGTGAACGATCATGTTGAATTGTAGATAAGAACTCAACAGGTACATTGTCGTCCACCTCAATGTCGTCAGCGTCCTCGTCATCCATATAACTCCTTGCTGCATCAGCTAATGCCTTGATATTCTGTTTCTCATCTAGAAGGATGGTGGTGAGCTCAAACCGAAGACATTTATCAAGTCGGTCGAGATGTCGACATATTTGAGGATTGTAGTTGTTGTTATTACTTGATCTTGCCGGGACCTTGATCTCGGTGATATGCGCGTGCTCGGTAGCATCTGCAGACCACTGAGCCGTGACTCCAGAGTTCCTAATGCTAGGTACGACACTCTGCATAAGCTCCAGTTACGGTATGTACCAATTGTCGATCACTTTGTTGGCCTTGCCACGACGAACCCCGGCATCAATGATTGCATCTTTGCTGGCGTGAAACTCATTCAACACTGCTGAGATGCGCACTAAGTCATTCTCGTCGATGGATTGTGACTGTACGAGATAGCGGAAATCCATGAGGGCGCGTACGGCAACGAGAACTCCATGGGGTGCTGCATCTGCACTAACTGCGACAATAGAACATTGGATGTCTCACTGACAGCGACCAGTCACCTGTTTGAGTTTTGAGATCCCTTCTGCGAAACGCCGAAAGCCAGTGACAGGTTGCAAAACAGAAAAACAGAAATCTATCTCCAACTCCCCAACAGCAAAGATTAGCCATTTTGCGTCGTGATCCCAAAATTCCTTATGAAGGACATGGAGTGTCTCAGGTGTGAAGAAGTGGGAGGGATCTGTAAGCACCCAGTCCTGCCAAAATGGCTCAAAGACACCGTTCAAGCGAAATTTTTGCACTTCATGAAAGAAGGCCTGTAGATCTGATGGATCGGCTCGTGTGCGAACAACAGATATTTGTGCAAGAGTGGTTGATGCCGTGCAAGGTTCATGGCGAAAGGAATCTCCAAATTGTTTGTACATGGCCATGGTGACCGGAGAGGTCTTTCCACCGACACAGGCTAACATCATGGCTTTGGGAGTATCGACGATATAACTTGCAAGTGGAGTGAAACAATAGCAGCTCTGTCCGACGGGATCCGAGAGCATCATGCCATGTAGAGCGGCCTCCTTAAGCGGTTTTAAGACAATATCTAGGCATTGATGAATGAGGCGATCCGCCAATACGCCACGCAGGCGCTTATTCTTATGAAGGAACTTCAGAACTGGCAGCAGGGCAGTGAGTGTTACAATAACATGCCGCCTTCACCCTATGCTCCCTCTTCCCGACTTACCGACATGGCGGAACACCGCCAGAAGCCTAGAGTGGCCTGGATGCCGCTGGATACCTAGAGCAGTCTAGAGCTGCTATGATGTCACCCCTGGCCTAGAAGGCCTCCCGATCCCATCATGATGGCTGTCCGCCTCATGTAGAACTAGACCGGCGCATGCCGCCTCATGCGCTGATGGACTCAGAGGCCGGAGTGCCTCATGTACTTATCTTGACATAGAAGAGGCGCCTCAATGCATCTTATCAGACAAGCATGGCTTGCCTCATGGATCTTATCTCTGACTAGGATAGATCCACAGATACAGACTCCTCCCGAACTATGTAGTTAGACACTATATAACAGTAGACACATATCATTGTATTCCCTACTTTGATATACTTGGTTTTCCCTTGAACATCCTCTCAGAGTGACTCCCAGTCCCTCTGTCTAGACCGCACTTCTAAGGCAAGCCGACGCTACCTTAGCCGTACATCCGTTAGCCCTACAGCTTGACGAGCCGCCACGCTTACCAAGCTTGTCGGAGGATACCTCGACCTTCGATCGAGCTTAGAAACCGTCCTTCTGTCTATGCGTGACCGCTAGACGATTAGTCATTCCGACTAGAGAAGGCTCAACCTATCCAAGTCGTAACAGTGAGCATGAAAGAGTTGGATGATGATTTAAGTCGGGTGTTCATGCGGATATTTGCAAGGCTGACAAGGAGTGGGTGTGCAACGCGATCGCCCGTCAGAACTGAGATATTCGTCTTGTCTGAAGATAGTATTGTCCCGAGCAATGTAGCACCTTGGGGGAGCAGTGACTATTTAAAATCAGTAAAAGATATACTACGTGAAGATGCCATACCTGCATGTTCCATGCATCATCACCTGTCATCCATTCGGTATACACACGACAGAGCTTTTGCACCGTAGAATAAACCTTGCGAGGTGTGAAGTCCAATTGATTGTGAAAGAGAGGATGGTTGAGAATGGCAGATATACACTCGAGTGGATCACGCCAGTACAGAATAACGGGTGATTTCGTTGGATGCGATGTATCAAGAACTCGTGACATCCAACGTGGGCCGCTAGGTAACATTTCTGCTCATCCTCGCAACTCTTTGGCAGAGTGGAACAACAAAGGAAGGTCCCTAATCTGAATGTTGGTTAGTCGATGAGATCAAGAGAAAGTTGCTGACTCGGATACCTCACCATCTCGAGCGATAAGAAGGAATCTATCTTCCCCATACTCAAACCAGAACGCAGTAACCATGATGCAGTCTCCCAGTCTTGCTTACAGCTGAACAGATAGTACAAGTTCATTTTGCGGTAGACACTATTTTCGTCGGTGTTGAACAGGCTCAGGAATGTATAGCCCATGCCGTACGTCTTTGCAGCGCCTGGAAAGTAGTCGGTGACCTCAGCAGGTGTTTCTTCTTCAACAGGAATCTCATCCCAACCACCGTCGTAAGTGTCTCCAAAATGGACATCATCTTCCTCTTCGTTCGACTCCATAGGGTCATCTTTCAAGGGCCCGGGTGGTAAGTGAGATCTCAGCCGAATCAACTCATCCAGCCAACTATTGCATCCAGAATGAGGTTGGCTCATATGACGGGCAACAGCGGTGTCAGTCTTGAATCCATCTTTGCCACAGGATGGACACTGGAGAGACATGAGTCGCGGAAGAAAGGTATGCAGCCAGCAGATGTTAGTATGCCGCATCGATAATTTTCATTGGCTGGGATCAGAACCCAGATTACATAAGTGACATGCACGATCTCCTTTGTTTATTGTTTATATATTGTTTTTCCTCTGTACCACTATGTGCTTATCAACGCTTTGAATCAGTCAGTTGTCGGTGAGTTATATCACAACAAAATTCAAGCTCTCATGCCTCCCTATGTCTGCTCATTCCCCAGTCCTATCTGAGCTGTCTCCCTTGGCTACTCCTGCCTTGCTAGTTCCTTTCATTTCCCGTTGCTATATTCCACCAAAGGTCCGGTCAATTCCTACCCAAAGATGTCTCTGTTGCTGAAAACCTCTTAGTTGTGCATGTCCAGTGTGATGGAGTCGGTAAACAATTTGAACCTGAAAGCTTTTGTCTCCAGGGCACGCGTATCTGATGCACTCAATCTTGACTCGAGCAGGCGCTGGAATTCAGCCACCGGAGTCTTTATACGGAAGTATATCGTCAACGATCGTGTTCAGTTTCATGGCTGAGGGACTAGGACTACTTTGAGCACTGGCTGGACATGCACGTCGATGATCTCATATTGTGCCAGATGGGACATAATTTTCGACCATGCCACACTGCTGATACCCACAGAGCGAGACTCTCTGCAGGGGGCAGATACATCATTTTATTATTCAAACGATACATGATAACATCTGCGGGGGCTGGGGACTGGCATCTTGTAGAGGTTCGCATGGCGAGTAATGACGAGCGCGCGGAAGAGATATCGTGCGGAATCAAAGGGGCATGGTTGTTGACCTTTTATAAGTGTCGATTGGGGCCTTTCGATAATCTGTCTGAACTAAGGCGAGATATTTCTGTTTCGATGAGTTGACACGCTACTTATATTTTACATCATACTCCCAGGTTGCTGCAGTCCATTTGCTTCGGCTATTGTACAGTATACATTGCATTCACTCAATCCCGGCCCCTTAGACTCTCCGATTCTCTTTCGTTCGTGTGGTCTGAACCAAATTTGCGTAAGTCCGTTCGTTATTTATAGTCTCGACTCACCTCGAAACGCGCTCGCGCTAATGTGCCCCCCTGAGCCCCAGCAAATATTTGAGCTCCACCATCTCCATCTCGAACACATGCCTCTCCCTCGCGATCCAAAGTATGAGCATTGCGCGCGCCTCCTCTGACCAGAATGGTGGCGGTGGGTGTGGTATCAACGGGAGGTCAGGGTGGTACAGCTGTTGGCGGACGTGCATTTGTGCGACAGCCCACTTGGCATATAACAAGTCCTTCGAGGTAAGATGTCAGTAACGGCTCGAAAACGCGGAAGATACTCACCAATTGCCTTTCTCACATCATAAATCTCACTTCCCTAGGTCTCTGTGCGTGTTGCAGGGCAGGGATCTCCACATCAAACGGTAAGTGATTGATATGAGAACAATCGATACACGACGCACCTCGCGATTGTGGCCCTCATCAGCTCCTCTGTTAACGTTTGGATTTGGGTAGTAGTTCATTCTGTACTTGTAGATGTAGTTGAATGTAATTGGGTACTTGAAATAAACGAATATGCTTACGTTCACCTCAAATGATCAAGCTCAAGTTGGACAATCGATGATTCCGGCATTTTCCGGATTCGCTTTTTCTAAATAACATCATTATATACGAAGTACATATGTTGACCTCGCCTGTCAGTCTCAATATTCACAGCAACATTCCAGCATCTATGTCAAATAAAACACTCCATTGGTGTTCTCTATGCTGTGCTCAGCAGCATCCATCTCACACTTGCCAAACAGTGAATCCTGGTGGTCACACCGCTGGTCTCTCTCACTTGTATGATATCACTGACACTATTGGTTCCATGGTACGTAGTAGGACTATATTAAGATTACTAACTAATAACATATATTTAATTTCATAGAACATCGATGATACAGAGGATCTCGAAGCAAACCTAGTTATGGAACTCGCCAGGGCTAGACGAGAGAAACTCCATGCCGAAAAGTCACTTGCCGATTGTGTGGTCCACGAACTCGAACTCATGGCGAGTTTATCGAAGTTCAAGTCAAGTCTTTCCGGGCAGAAACTTGACCGAGCGGATGTAGGATTGGGATATATGCGGATCGCATTCAAAACACATGGTCTATCTCACCGCGCGCACCATCTCCACGGTAAGTCTACGAACACGTTGAGTTTCATGGTGCAATACTAACAATTTACAGGCTCTGTCGTCGAGGTAGGGGACCATGATGGCCATGAAATCACTATTCAGTTAGATTGATCTAATGGTCGCGGAATTTCTGTAGTACTTTTAAAATTTAACAACACTAGCATTTTGTAAAATTGTACTGTGTATTAAATTCAAGTTTGTTTGTTTCGCTACTTGCTAAATTGTGAAGCAGTTCCTAGTACAACTGAGTCTCGTACTACTAGTAGTATTTGGCTTATTGCGCAAGGTACAACTATGTGTCTGTACTACATGTATATCTATTGTAGTGTCTTATCTGCTGTGAGCTATTGTGTGAAGTATGTGTCTGCACATGCATATCCATTGTGGCATCTGTCTGTACTGTGAGCCACTGTGCAAAGTATGTGTCTGTGCACGTATGTTCATTGTGGCGTCTGTCCACACTGTGAGCTCTGTGCGAAACTGTGTAAAATAACATTGTCTGTGGGAAGAATTTGTAGTTTGCTGATGTGAAGATGAAACGATATGAGTAAGAGACGGTGTGCATAGGAGAACGAGAACCATACCTCAGCATTGCAGGAAGAAGCGCTGAGGTATAAACAACGTGAAACAATGATGCTATATACTAGTACTGAGTCCGTGATGATGAATAAGGAAATGGAATACGGTGTCGTCGTTGCACATCCAACAGCTGTATGGTGCAGGATATGCTACATGAGAATAGCTTACACTATTAGCCAATGCAGCTTCTTTGATGCTCTTGTAGACCTTGTTTGTGATCCCCTGGATGGCAGTCTGGATCCGCTGCTCATATGTGGGATCACGCAACTCTCGTGATTTGCCTTTTGGGCGGCTATTTCATCGTCGAAGCCATGTCCAAATGGCGTCGGCTCACTGACAACTCGTCACAGCCAGTGGTAGTATCTGTTTAGAACTCCGCTACGGCAGCGCTCGGCTGGCTGTCACCAGCGTGACTTTGATGGCTTTCAATGAACTTCACCATTTCTTAATAAAATTTGGTCGTTCAACCTCGCAATGAAAGGTGCATGATAGAAACATTGATTTAAGTTGTGAATTGTGTGTGGAAGTAAGAATTGAGTGAGATATTTGTTAAAGCTAGACACAGTGTTAGCCCTCAGTCGTGATGGAACAGACTAAATTGAGTATGTACCTAGACACAGTGTTAGCCTACGAGCATCCGTTAGTATCTAGGTACAGATCAAGTAATACAAAGAACTCACCCTCAGTCGTGATGGAACAGACTGAGGGGAAAAGACAACGAAAGTAAACATATGTACGTAGGTTTGAATTCCTAAGTCCAATCTCTGCTCATCGCGTCGACAGCGTGCATTCCAGCACTAACAATATTTAGGTCGTGACGACTTGTGGGGGTGACGACTCTGCCGTGAGGTATAGTAACCCTACATTAGCAAAACTATGGAAAGCTGGACACTCCATTATTAAGCAAGCATGGCATAATATGGTAATCAGACCTCGAGCACCGTACTAGCATATTTACTATTAATTTTAGTTAGAGGTTGGGGGTTAAATCCCAGTGAGAACCGGACCTCACTGTATCGACGGAAAACAATGGATATATTTACAAAGATTGTCAAAGCTATGCAAATCATGAATTCAACGAAAGTTGACGTGTGTCATCTCGATCAAAAGAAGCAAACACACAATTTTGTCAATGTCTTGTGCATTTTTGCAGACATATATTCAATCAATCAATCAATCAATCAATCAATCAAGACCATGTGAATCTCTCATTCATGTGGTAAGTGTACGTGTCCTTAGGGCTCAGCAGGGGTATGGGTAACCCCTGGGGGTCGAGTAGGGGTACTTGAGGGTAGGGGTATGGGTCTGAATCTGGAGACCCTTGTACCCCTAGGCCTAGGCATAATATATCCCCAAATTGATTACCATAGGAGTGATGGATAAGTGTCATATCCCGTATTCCGGACCTACATCCGACAATATTCCCACGCCTCATCCGGACCTTCGGACACCCTATTCATGTCTCCAGTCCTCTATCCATCCGGATCCCTGCACCCCTGCACATCCACATCCACATACATTTACCTCCATACCTCAATCCACGCGTCTCATCCGGACGTCCGGTCCGGTCCGGTCCGATCCGATATACGATAAGCTTCCTAATTCAATTCCTGTGCATATAACGTTAACACAGCCTATTCCTCTATTCGGTATTCCTTGTCCTCGGTATCTCGGTTATACTTACTACCGGTATGCTTACTGATCCGTTAACCTATGCTTCATTTCCGACTCGCGCTTGATAACTTTGCTTATGCTTCATACATAGCCTCGGACGCTTGCTTACTGATCTTTCCGTTATTTCCTTAGTATATAAACTCTTGTATATGTCCTGTAGTTCCTCAGTCTGAATATCATATTAGTCCTCGCACTAGATCTCACTCTAAGTCCTCACATCAGTTCTAGTCTATCGACTTAGTCAATATCCATCTCGGGCCTAGGGAGAAATTCCCTAGGCCAGAGCTCCGCTTATCCGCTCATCCGATCCTCCGAAGTTTCCGGACGTTCGTCCGAAACTTTCCCGCGGTCCTCCAGACCTATTCTGCTTCGGACTTTGTCCTTGCAGCCTTTCCTCTGTTTGCTTCTACTTAGGACTTGTCCTAAGTAGCCATTACACGTATCCGTATCAGGACGAAACCTCATCGTAATTTCCGGAAGTTCCTCCGGAACTTTCCCGCACTCGTCCGGAAAGTCCTTCCGAACTTTCCCGCGCTTCGGACATCCTTCGGACGTCCTTGGACTTTCTTCGGACATCATTCTGAAATTAAGGGCACATACTCGGGTAAGGGGCGCAGCGCACGAGCTGAAGCCAAGCCCCTCGGAATCAGTCCTACCCTTTGTGCACGGTCTTAACATAAGAATAAAATTTGAAGTTGTCAACAGCACAATGGTTATTAGGCTTATTGTGATCTTATATTGCAATTTGGTTATTATTTGAGTAAGATACAACTAAAATACAATCAAAGGAGACATTCAAGTTAGTTGAGGTGGTTCATAATGCACAAGAGTTACCAGACTCCAAACCATCGGCGGTGTGTTAGAGTCTCGTGCTAGTGTACCAAATACATACAACTATATTCCAAATCCTGCACCTTGATTCAAACACTGCAACTCTTTGGAGGTTCATCATCCAGATCTCCGCCACCATCTCCCGGCGGGTTACCGCCTAGGGGAAGTTCATCATCGGAATCATTGTTCAGAAGATTTCCGGCGGGTGTGGGGGTGGGGGTAGACGGATGTGGGTGATTCATGAGTTGCGAGATGCTGGAGGCAGCGCCTTGCACACTAGTGTGGCGCTGCGAGAAGCTAGTGAAGGCATCGACTATGGGAGTAGAGTCGTGTCGGGCTGTTACTAAACCCGCCGTGTTAAGAGTGGTCTGCACTCGTGTAGGTGCCATGAAAACAGATGTAAGTATACTCGGTAAGGTGTGAGTTTGAATATACTGTTAAGAACGTGCTCAAGGGTCGGATCCGAAGGGCTTGGCTTCAGCTCGTGCGCTGCGCCCCTTACCTGAGTACGTGCCCCTAACTTCCGAAGGCTAATGGATGATGTCCGAAGGTTGTCGGACAATGTCTGATGCGCAGGAATTCCGGTAGATGTTTGGGAACAAGTGATAAGACTAATCCAGACAAAGTCTGAACTAGAAAGGAAACAGCAGAGGACTACCAGAGGTAGAGGCGGAGTGTTAAGACTGTGCACAAAGGGTAGGACTGATTCCAAGGGGCTTGGCTTCAGCTCGTGTGCTGCGCCCCTTACCTGAGTATGTGCCCTTAACTTCAGAATGAAGTCCGGAGAAAGTCCAGTGAAGTCCGAAGGACTTCCGGAGAAGCGTGGGAAAATTCGGAAGGACTTTCCGGACGAGTGCGAGAAACTTCTGGATGAGTGCGGGAAACTTCCGGAGGAACTCCCGGAAATTACAATGGAGTTTCGTCCTGACGGGGATATGTGTAATGGCTACTCAGGACAAGTCCTGAGTAGAAGCAAACAGAGGAAAGGCTGCAAGGACAAAGTCCGAAGCAGAATAGGTCCGGAGGACCGCGGGAAAGTTCCGGAGGAACTTCCGGAAACTTGGAGGAGCGGAGGAGCGGAGGATCGGAGCTCCGGCCTAGGGAATTCCTCCCTAGGCCTGAGATGGATAATTACTAAGTCGGAGGACTAGAACTGTTACGAGGACTTAGGGTGAAGGCTAGTGCGAGGACTAATATGTGTAATATTCAGACTAAGGAAGTACAAGAATTCTACAGGGTTTATATACTACTTGTCATATCCCGTATTCCGGACCTACATCCGACAATATTCCCACGCCTCATCCGGACCTTCGGACGCCCTATCCAGTCCTCTACCCATCCGGATCCCTGCACCTCTGCACATCCACATCCAGATCCCTATACCTCCGTACATTGGACCTCCATACCTCCACAGCTAGCCTGCATCATTCATCCTTTGTCCTATCGCCCTAATGTCATATCCCGTATATGCACGCTTCTCATCCGGACCTCCAATCCAATCCAATCCGGTCCGGTCCGATATACGATAAGCTTCCTAATTCAATTCCTGTGCATATAACGTTAACACAGCCTATTCCTCTATTCAGTATTCCTTGTCCTCGGTATCTCAGTTATACTTACTACCGGTATGCTTACTGATCCGTTAACCTATGCTTCATTTCCGACTCGCACTTGATAACTTTGCTTACGCTTCATACATAGCCTCGGACGCTTGCTTACTGATCTTTCCGTTATTTCCTTAGTATATAAACTCTTGTATATGTCCTGTAGTTCCTCAGTCTGAATATCATATTAGTCCTCGCACTAGATCTCACTCTAAGTCCTCATATCAGTTCTAGTCTTCCGACTTAAGTCAATATCCATCTCAGGCCTAGGGAGAAATTCCCTAGGCCAGAGCTCCACTTATCCGATCCTCCGAAGTTTCCGGATGTTCGTCCGAAACTTTCCCGCGGTCCTCCGGACCTATTCTGCTTCGGACTTTGTCCTTGCAGCCTTTCCTCTGTTTGCTTCTACTTAGGACATGTCCTAAGTAGCCATTACACGTATCCATATCAGGACGAAACCTCATCGTAATTTCCGGAAGTTCCTCCGGAACTTTCCCGCACTCGTCCGGAAGTTACTTACACTCATCCGGAAAGTCCTTCCGAACTTTCCTGCGCTTCGGATGTCCTTGGACTTTCTTCGGACATCATTCTGAAATTAAGGGCACATACTCGGGTAAGGGGCGCAGCGCATGAGCTGAAGCCAAGCCCCTCGGAATCAGTCCTACCCTTTGTGCACAGTCTTAACATGCCACCCTTACCTGACATGATGGTTCAGGTCCAAGAAGCCCCCCAGTGTGGGATATTCATACCCATGAGCACACCCTGACCCTCTACTGCAGGTTGGCGGTGTTTGGCAGGTATGACCTCGAGAAGCTGGTTCGTGAAGAGTTTGCTGATACATATGAGAAATCTGTTGAAACTACTAATGAGACTACAGCAGACATGGTCCATATGCAACATTTAATCATACACTGACGCTGATGCTGACAACTATACAGAATGATGATGTGACTTTGGTGACTACTCACTTGGTTCCATGTCTTGTAATACTAGTAGCAAGTGGCTGGAGGGATTCTGCAATCACGGCCTCAAAATTGAATTGTCATGAGAAGAAATGAAGATCAAGCTTTTGCAACATCTGCTGTCTGGAGTTTGTGTTCATGCGGGAGCTGTACCAAGTGGTCCCCAGGGATTTCTCAAGCATTTTTGGGTGTTCCTTCTCTGCTTGGTTATGTAGTTCGAGAGGTATTGGTTTCTCTATCATCGACATTATCTGTTGGGTCTCTTAAATATATTGTCTGTGCTGTGGGAGAAGAAACTCCTGTTTTCATGACAATTTGTTGCAATCATTGCCTTTTTCGCATTCATAATATTTAGTATTTGACAGACATGTTTTGAGAAAGGAAACTATAAAGGTAGTAGTGGGCTTTGTGTCACAACCCAATAATGAATTAACACTGGGCAGAGACTAGGACTCAAAGCACAAGATAAACAAACAAAAAAAGATAGTATTGAGCAGGTACGTCTGGGCTGGTACAAGTAATGTACAGACGAGAGGTTTGAACCAAAGAACTACTGACTACAAGCTAGCTACCTATATATATATATATATATATATATATTAAGTCGGTGTAGCACTCAGGCTCGCGCTGAGCACGTATTCAGCTAATTCCCAATGCATGTCAAACACTTGAATCACTTCCCAATGTTATCCGACACTTACCCGCTCAATCCAACATTTATCCACTAACCCAACATAGTCCGATGCTAACCCGACGGACCTGATGTTTCCCACGCATCGGACTCGATATTTTCCCGTGCACTTGTCCTCCCTATGTCCTGTCCTGTCGTATCTATCCCCACTAGGTGCGCAGTTATCAGTTTTCACACCGCTAACACTGTAGACCGCGTTATTACATGTCCGCAGTACCATATGTCTTATTACATAGGACATCAGATCCGAAAATTACTGCTACTACTTTCGCCTATAGTGCTCCGAAATGAAATTCTACATAGACACTATATATTTTGCATGCCTCCTACTTACTTATTTACCTTTCTACCTCCGAGTAGGAGGAGGTCATTAGATATTCGTAGTTCTTTGCTGAATTCCGCAAATATCATCCTTTCTTTATCTGAAACACTCCGAAAATACTGACAGTAACCCGCCATTCACTATCCCTGACATTCATTACATTCCCGATGCTAATCCGACGTAACCCGACGTAACCCGCTAACCCGAAACCCGAAAACATCGGACCTGACGTTTTACCTTCGGACTCTGTTTCCCGTGCTTTGGACTATCTTCCTTTTAGTATCACTGATTATTCTAATACCTTACAGCAAACCCCTCGGGTCGAACACACTTGTCTAGCAAGTATAGCAGACTAGGCTGTGCAGACCACAACATTATTATATTGCTGATTGCTTACTTCGTGTAGTTGATCAGCAATTGTTGTCTCATTACATCGGAGACTGAAACTGAGTTCAAACTAACTACCAATCAGAATAATAAAAGGTATAATTCTATACATGACTATGATGTCATGATGCATGCTGTAGCAACCAACAGGCTCTGGAACATTCCAAGAGGGTCATGTGGTGTGAGGTCATCAAGACCAGCATCTTCCAATAAGTCATGTGATTCAATCACGGGTAGTCCAGGTAATTCTACAATAGATGTGAATGGGCTGGGAACATCTTCAACCATAAATACATTATTAGGTACAGGTGCTTTGTCTGGGCACTTAAAGGACTTAGAGTTCAGAAAAGAATAGTGGTTCGTATGAGGTACTCATGACACTTTGCCATGCATGTGGCCTTAGGCGACTTATTTACATTTTGTAGCTGACTTGAGCTGACTTTGAGTTACTAACTGGAGCTATAATAATTCAGCTGAGCTGTATATGACATAAGCTGTAAATAAGTATCTGGCTTGGCTAACCTCAGTAGTGCTGCGGCCATGGTTCAAACCTGACCAATGGTCAGGTTCATCCATGGTTCAGTCCACAGTTCTCCATTTTGGCTGGACTGAACCAAAATGAGGTTCATGGTTCATTGTTCCTGGGATGGTTCAGTCATGGGTTCAGACCTTCCAGAACCGTTCTGAACCATGAACCGAAACTTCCTCAAGATATCAGCAAAGCTGGTAACTTCTCTTCTGCACTCATGGGTACTTCAACTTCTGGGATCCTCAACATCTGCATTAACTTTCAATTCTGTCCGGACACTCGCATTTCATGCTACCGGTTGTCCAATCAAGCTCACAAACTAACCAATATATTACTTTGATATATTTTCCAGGATTCTCCAATGCACATGGCAGAGACTGGTTGTGTTTGCACTGGTCTGAATCAATCTTGACACTATTTAGGTATGTTGTGCATGTAGACTCGACTCTGGATGGGGGACTTATATGTTCTTTGTTGGGCACTCAGCGCTGTCCTCAATCAGGTCCATCTGGTGATTGAGCTCCTCCTGCAAGCCCATCATGCCTCATTTGTTGGCGTTGTTTGCTCAGTTCCACACATTTCGGCACACGGCCTCTAAATGCATCCCAACCAATCAAACAACAGTCCCGACATTGGAATTTCAACCTCAAGTTGTTTCTGGAGGACATTCCACACGCACTGACGACCATTAACGTACCTCTTGCTCAAGATGAAAATGTGAGTCACTTGTTGTCCCTCCAATTTCATTCTATTAAAATAAGTACACTGCAGAGATATGGCATTGCCCGTTCTCTCGTGCTAACTCTCTCCCACCTGTTCTCTCATGCCACACCCCATCTTTCATGCCCTCCTACTTCTCGATGTTGCTTGGTATTGAGACCATCAACCGCAGCACCACAACAAGTGCCCGCCATGTCACCTGCATCTTTGTGCACTCCCAGCCACCTCCATTCACCACTTTCACAATGGTGCAAACACTTGCGGGTGGCGCTTTGGACCATATTTTCTTGCATGGACAGCTTATTTTCTCTCACTTCCAGGTGCGACATGCCCATCGAGGATTTGGAAGGCTAGGAAGCTCAATGGCCAGCAAAACATGCAAGGAAGCAAACATGCAGGAGGTAGATTGAGGAATTTTTGTGATGTATTAGACTAGTTACTCGACATGTAGACTACTTTGGATATGTAACTATAAGTACAAGTACTTCAACTATGTTTTTTTGCTAGCTATAAAAAAATTGGGTCTGGTTCATGTTCGAACCAAAAAAAAACCAAACCTGACCGCTGTGAACCGTCCGCAAAGGTTCAGTCCAAGGTTCATCGAGAAAGGTAGAACCAGACCAAGGTCCAGTTCTTGGTTCTCGTCAAACTACCTCTGAACCGGACCAAACTGGACCATGGCAGCACTAAACCTCAGTATCAGCCTCAGCTATAGCTGGCCATAAGTCAGAGCTATGGTAACACTACCCATACCCCTGCTGATCCCTACACACTATTATTTAAATTAGCCTACCCATGTACCCATTTTTAATCAAAGATTGGTCTTTTTGTGTAACACTGTCTGATATTGTTGGATCCCTCATCTAAAATAAAACACAATAGCAATAACTCTAAGATGAATAACTTCAAATTCTTTCTAATTCTCGTCTGTTTATCAGGGGGTAAAATAACTGAGCTAAACCTGCTAAAACTTGAATTTGGCTAATTTAGACATAATAATGGAGCGTTAGTGCTAATTAGTTCTAAAATCTTCTAATTAGCTTAGGAGGTTTTTCCTGATGAACTGCCATCATATCCCTCCAACCCACTTCTCTATGTCCAATTTTTCTGCTTCATTTCCAGTCCTGCTGAACATCCTGAACTCGCAATGTGGACTGTGGAGCATGCATACATGCAGGATCAAAATGGTGACCATCATACAGAGGGGGCTGTCATATGAGTGACAGATGTGATGCAGAAACCTGCAAGTTTTTCTTTTTGAATAACTTTGTGGACAAGGAGAGTCATCATACATTCAGTACCGAGTTTATATAGACAGTAGCTTGATCAGTATGTAGAAACATATATACATGATGTCATTGCAATGAAGCAAGCTTGTTGCTCCTACTTCTAACCCTCAATCGGTTCCGCATCTCCTGTTCCTCCCGTTTTCGGGTTAAACTCTAAATGCTGTGCAATCAAGGGCCATACTGGATGATACGTCACCCCCCATGTCGTGAAAATTGATAGTCCGAGCACATACCTTCCTCGAATCCAGGATGCCGTCCTATACGAATTTGTTGCCACACGCTGCGCATCGCGTCTGAAGAACGGATATCCCCCCAGTGCTCAAGGAAGAAACTGACTTGGACCTTGCGGACGTCCGAAAAGGTTGCAGAGAATGGAGAAAACACCTCGTATGGAATATTGTCGACAGTGAGCGACTTCTGAATGTGCTGTATCGTGTGTGTTAACACAAATCACATACGTACGAGAGTAGGAACTACCTGATATGCACGCTCTTTCAGATCAAGAAGGCCAAGTTCTTAGGTCAAGATTACAGTGAATAACGAAGACAATCAGGAAGGCGTATGATTGACTCACTGTCTGCTAATCGATAAGCAGCCTTCGCAGAACAAGGCGATGGTCGCCCTGGATGGTTTTGTTGCCACTTTCGGATCCACTCTCTCCTTGAAGTGGGAGTTTCTGTCGAGCTCCCTGCTTTTGGAATGTCGAGCAAATTAGACTGACTATCAGAGGGGGCTTGCGCTGTTGAAACTATTGTCGGCGGCTTCTTTCGAGCCGTTGAGTTAAACGACGAGGATATGGGGGCGAAGACAATGACATCAGTATAGATCTGTAATGCATAGGTCATAAATGTACCAAATATACCCTAAACCACGCTCACGTAGTAGAGAACAGCCCTGTAAGTTGCATACGCAACGTCCCGGATGAAGACACGCATTTTCTTGGGTCCCGCAATCTCCTTGCCTTTGGCAGGTGCTGTGGGTTTCATCCAATCGTGCGCATTCGTGTCAGGAGCTACGCTATTGCTCCTTGGGGATGACGGGTGGGATAACTTGGGTTGAACATTACGTGGCTGTCCGTCTTCTGGACCACTCGACATTTGTGCATCTGACTCTACGGAATGGGCATTTAGTTCGGTGTCGCCGGTACTTGCAACTGGGATCACGAAAGGTCCAGCCTCCTCTTCGATCTGCGACTCTACAGTGCCATCAAAACTTGGTTCATCGATTGTCTCTGTCGTAAATTCATCGTCTTCATCATCCGAATCATCATACTGACGACTAAGATAGGTGTCGTCTGAGGCGCCGTCGCCATCATCGACATCGTATTGGCCATGGTCTGAAGAAGCCTCGGAAAATCCTGAGCTGAACACTAAGGACAGTGCAATTGTAAGTATCATACAATATAGTGATCCAGTCGGCCTTACTAGTCTGAAAGTAATCTGCTCTTTGCAATATCTTCCTGTTGGCGTAGATACACCTAAAACCCTTCGACCTGCCTCGGCAAGGCAGTACGAACTCGACATCGGAGTATAGTGGGTCATCAAGCAGCGACCCTACGCGTTCCAGGAAATCCTTCGGTACAAGCTGAGCTGGTGCTGACGGTGGTTGTGTAGGTTCTGCCGGTGATGATGTGATAGTACAGATGATGAGGAAGGCGTCCTGTTCTTTGACGGCATTTGAATGATAGTATACATGATCTCGTCGCGCAAACTGAGCCCTGTCCAAAGATGTGGTAATATATCTCGTGAATAACGGGACTCGCGCACCATCCCCAATTGGCTGTCTGTATGAGCAAACTAAGCGTGAATCGAAAAGTTAACCGAACAGCATACCTTCGATGAAAATGAATGGTTGTGGGCTTCTTTGATATTGAATAATGCGGTCTTTCCGAGACTGCGTACGAAAAGAATCAGATGCAGACGAACCATAAACACGTTGGAGTCTGACCTTCGAAGCTCGAAATTGAATTTGTAGACGCCCTCTCGTACCCACCTATGCATTTGAGATTAGTGTGCGGGAGGGTGTATCCAAAGTAGGCCGAAGCCTCCCTGCGACGTACTTTCCGTCCACCGCATTGTCTTTTTCTTCGGCAGTGGGCTAGAGATACAGGCGTCAATAACGAGTTTGTGATACAAGGAAGGTTGGGGCGCACTTCACAAGACAAATATAAGCTCACGAACCCACCGCCCTCCGTGCCAGAGTTCGCATAGAAGAGAATCTGTATAGCGGTATTCGATGAAGCTAGCCGGGGAGGCAATACAGTGCGCATACCTGCCAGCGACCATGTCCGAATCTCACAGACTTGGTAACCTTTGACTTCGATTCGCCTTTGCTACAATTCTGGTCAGCGGTAGCTGGGAAGCATTGCGATGCGATTACCTCGATTCAAAGATATTCTTGAGACCACGAAGAGTCCATTCGAAGGTAACTGCCGTGCTTTCTTGGATATCTGTTTTTTCCATCACGACTCGGATGTTTAGTCCGAAGAATTAGTAGGAGGTGTGAGAATCAAGGCTTTTCATAGGGATGAGATATGTGGACGGTATTGGGATGGATGCTCTGTGCAATGTGGTAAACATGTGTGCGATGACTGACAAGTCCAAACAATGAGGTAGCCCCTGTCCGTCGCTAAATAGGTACAATATGTACACTAGACATGTGCGATCAAGCTGCGTAAAACCTAGTGCGACACAATTCGCTTTTAGTATATGTGGACATGTAACAATGTATCCAAGACTCCTCAAGCCGATTGAGCCAGGTCGGTGGTATTCGCCTTTCCTTCAATAGTCAATGCATCCATATCCTTAGTCATGAGCCTGAGAGTCTCCACAGGGTATGAATGATCAACAATGGTGAAAGAATGTCCCGCGCATGAATATAAGTGATCGAAAGTATCACCAGCGTCGGCGGGATCATGGTCCTGGCTCGGGTCATAACCGGGGATGATCCGTTTGATTGGGATGAGCTGCAATTTCACCTTCGGCGCAGACCCGCATGGAATGAAGGTACGAATCAAAAGCTTCTGCCCCGGTGTTTTGCTGTTCCGTGCCAGCTCCACCATAGTGTCCCACTTTTGTTGCATCAGTTGGTCGCACTTGCAGGTGTCTGGCACAGGGAGCGATTCCGTGCAACCAACACCGATGCGGAAAGGAATGCAGGTATAATCAATCTCAACAACTGCAGGCCCCGGAGCATGTATTGCTGCTGTCCTGGAGATTCGCTCGTTGTGACATGAGAGATCAGATGCAATGACGCGATCAAGAAAGCGGAGATCACGAGTAGAAATACGGGACATGACTCCTTCTGTAAGGAATAAATGAATGAAATTCGGTATCAGTTACAAATTTATGAAACACGTACTGGCACGGCGAGCTTGTATTCCGCGACAATATGTTTGATGGCCGCCTTGTTTCCAATCATAAATCTGGCATTCCCTACTGCAGTAATGCACGTGAAGGCAACCAGCACATCGCTTGAAGGTGCCTGCTGCCCCAGATTTATTGCACTGGACAACGATCACTACGAAGATCATAGAGGAATATGTGAGATGATACGCACCTTTGAACTTTGACAAGAGTCGACATGTGCCTCGTCGACATCATCAGTCTCTAACAACTTGAGTCGGGTCATCACTAGTGCCTCCAATGTGGACCAGTGTTTGTGCATTGAGCCATCCGGCTTTGGCCTGTCCACCGCCTTAACGGCGTTAAGGGCCTTGATGGACCGACCCATCACTTTAAGCACGGAACGAAAAATTGCATACTTGGGGAAAATGCTCGAGAGAAGAAGCCAGAGTGGTTCCCAGTCTTCGTCATTATTGTCCTTGAGGTGTTTTACCCACGGCTCGACCGCTAGCAACGAGGGCAGCAGGCCTGCCTCGAGGACCTCAGAGATCCAGGGTAGCCCATCCGTGTCTTCTATATATGCCCTTATATACCAACATGCGTACGAAATGGCCTTGGCCACTAAGTGACGTTGTTTGATGGAGTGGGGCCGCTGAGATACCATGGTAGCAATAACGCCTGCAGTTTTCTGCATGGAGTGTTGCATAAGTAACGGAATGCGGATCGTGTTGTTTACGGAAAGGGATGTCAGAAGGTGGATGTCCCAGATAATTAAGTCGTAATCGACGGGCTGCTGTGCGAGGTCGTGCTCCAGATGATCAAGAGCTGTTGCAGCGATCCTCGTTCCGTCATTATTGAACGGGCGCATGATTTCATGCCAATTCCAGGTCTCCGTCTCAGAAAATGTGCACATCCAGGAGTCTAGAATGGCTGGAGTGCGGATAATCGGAGGGGGACCAGGGATGTCATCGTCTTCCACGCAGGAGCTGAAATGACGATCTTTTGTTTCTAAATCCCACAGACTGAACAACAAAGACACGATTCCTGGGCTAGACAGGACGATAGGAAGCGAGTCCCCGAGGGTATCATGCCTGCAGATGCCTAAGAAGTCGACGATTGCTCGCTTAGCGAGAATACGCATGGTTCTATCAATGCTGTCTTTGAACACGTAGTCTGCCCCGAGGAAAAGCAGCCATTCGCGAATGATGGGCCAGCGGGAAGTCAGTGTGTTGAGCATTCTGGCAGTGTAGACAGAGCGGCCAAGCCAAAATGGCATGAACGATGCTAGGCCTCGAAAAGCCAATGCTTGTTGCATGGGCTCAGGGATGAGGCCACGCTTGACTTGTTGGAGATGAACTGAGTCTATGATGCCGTACAGCGCGACGGTGATTTGATACACATCGGGGAATGTGCAGTCGTCCCTCAGAGCAAAGAGAGTGGCTGAGGCGACAGAGTCAAAAGATCCTTGGCTCAAGCCGTCCAAAATATTCTAGATATCGGGAGAAATGGTTAATGGAATGTCTGACGATGGGTAGAAGTAGTACGGCAAACCTTGAGCTCGTTGGAAGACCGTGACATGACGAGATGGTCTGGTTAACAAAACTGGTTTTTCTGAGTGGCAACTCGGCTTATATATCATGGTGCCCCTCCACATGGTTAACAAAGAGAATTGGTCAATCACAACCTAGGTAGTGAACGTGCCGGACCATTGGCAATTTACCATATGGAACTCAAGCACAGCACAGCACTGTAGATCTGCAGATGGGGAGGAGACAGATGGGGACCTTCTGCAAGCGTCAACTACTTGCCGGATATATACGCATAAATTTTTGAGAGTCTAGGTTCCATAGGTCCTATACTTGTGCCACCACATCCGAGTTCGATACGATGCATGTTGGAGCCGTATCGCCGGTTCTTGCCGATTTTTACGTCTGACCATGTCGATTAAACTTTCATTGGAGCGTATTCGGCTCCTTGCACAACATCTTCCTTCATATTCACGGCCCACTGTTCATGTCGCCGGCACAAATGGCAAAGGAAGTGTCACCTGCATGCTATCATCCATCTTCCTTGCGTCGGGTCTTACTGTTGGTCGATTCAACAGCCCTCATCTAGTGTCCGTCCACGACTCCATTTTGATCAATGAACAGAGCATATCACTAGAACAATACAATCTTTCACGTGCAGCTGTCGAGAGCGCAGACCAAGCCCATGGCACAGAAGTTACCAGTTTTGAAAAGCTGACGCTTGTTGCACTGCAGGTCTTCGAGAAACTTGGGGTGGATGTTGTGGTCATTGAGGTGGGCATGGGTGGTCGTCTGGACGCGACCAATTACATACCAGACGAGTCCATACTCCTCTCTGCTCTCACGACAGTCGACCTTGATCATCAATTATTCCTTGGAAATACCGTCGAACTCATTGCCAAGGAGAAAGCCAGCATTGCGAGAAAAAACAAACCTTTTGTCTTAGGCATTCAGAAATACGCTGCTGTCGAGAATGTTGTGCGGTCTGTCGTTGAACAGACCGGCGCTCACTTCATAGCAACTCACTCTGCGCAGCGACGAGCGTGGGATGATACCATAGACGGTCCATTGCCGCCTACATTCTCGCTGGATGCAGAATCATTCAGGCCTCCCCCTCCTCAGCCTATTACATTCACCAGTTCGGCTTTCCCAAACAGCTTATCCGCACTTTTATATTTGAACGGAAGCCATCAAGTGGAGAACTTGAGTCTCGTATTAACTGTCATATCCACACTTATGACTCACCCATCGTGTGCATCGAGGATGCCAAGCGGTTTTAGCGAGCGTGTCTTGCAAAACATAAATACAGGCATTAGAAATGCCACTTGGCGAGGTCGCTTGTCATTCCATAGTCTCATGGTGTCCTCACCTTATCCACGGGCGATCACTGTCCTTGTCGATGGTGCACACAATCGTGCGTCATCAGAAACCCTCGCTTCGTATGTTTCCAACCTCGTTACGATGTTGGACGGAAATCCAAAAGTGCGGACATTACGATTAACTTATATCCTCGCCCTATCGCGTTCTCCCCCTAAAACGCCGAAGGATACCTTATCCCCGCTCTTCGACTCTCAAAGTAGCACACGGCTTTCGATACAGACGAAAGTTGCCGCGGTACGATTCACCTCGCCGGAAGGCATGCCTTGGGTAAACTCTGTGCCACCGTCTGTGATCGCCGCTACCGTGCGTGAGTCTGTATCAGGTATAGGGCTGTGGGTTGCATCCGACGAAGGTGATATTCAGGGGCAACTTGAGAGTGCGTTGGAATGGGTGACGACGGAGGGAACGGAGGAAGAAGATGGGGTACAAGAGCTGGTGATTGTCGCGGGGAGTCTATACCTCGTGGCGGATTTCTATCGTCTTCTTGCGAAACAAGAGGTGAACCCCAGTTGACAAGGGGGAACTAGTCGGACCGAAATTAGTACAATTGTTTCGAATATCATTGTTTTTCTGGTTCAATGATTGGAAGTGTCTACAGAGATCTTGTCATAAATGGGGCTGTGGCACCACGTGGGGTCTTTTGTTGTGAGGGAGTCCCGGCCCGGACGGGTGAAGCTTTGAATGATTGAATGATCAACGTGTATACACACCTCAAACAGCACTTGGTCTGAAATGTGCATGAAATGTGCAACTCATGCTTACCGATATGAGCATATCTGATCAACGATCAACGTTCGCTCTGAGGCCCCTCTAAATATTCTAGCTATAACAAGACAGGTTACGGCTGCCACTTCTACCCACCTCTACCTCGTGGGGCTGTTCGCAAGTACGATGCTACTAGGAAGGTGAAATTGTTATCTGCTGTGACGCTGTGATTGGCCGTTCTGATCATCCACTGACAGCTGTCAATCAAACACTGGTAGCAGCCACTAGTAACCCAAGTATCCTCGAGGTGCGAAACACGGGTCTGAAAATCAAGGGACTCCGCCACTTGTCAAGTGCACTTATCGACATGTTCATGGGCGCTGGGTCGAAGTCTCCACTCCCTTGGGGGTGATGGAAGTGATCAATTCTGGTGGGTGAAACGGTGGATGCTGCTAATTTGTCGATAAACAGCTTGTATGGCGCATGATTCCATTGTTACGACACAGGCCCATCAAGATAAGGTGGATTTGAATTGATGTTCTGGAGTCATAATGTACGTTCAGACATAAGATCTGGCTCTGGCCATGGAATGGAGGACTTGCATCGAAAACAGGGACTATATGCCATCTTAGTCACTGAATCGTCAATTCACAGGCTAGATGGTTTCTGAGAATCCATACGTACCTGCTCTTGTCGAGAGCTACCGCCCGTATGTAGGATGAGAACCTTATGGTGTGGCGGCCAATGCGCAATGCGTTTGTCGCAGGCTATTATTGTGTCACCTTGTCAACAGGGCGGATCGCCATAATATCGATGAATCCCCCATTGGCAGATTACCTACCCAGTAATGGTAAGAAACATTGATCGAGTTGTTTCATTGCGAACCATTATGAGTGGTAGAGTAATACGAGCCTGCGTTCGAGGAGCAACACTATATAAATTAATGTCGCCGTCGATTTGGAAGCAAGTTCATATTAGATGAAAACGTTAACCAACTGATGTGACTGTGTGATATGTGAGGAGTAGTCCCACGACACTTTAGTTCAAGTGGTTACCAGTCGAGCTGGATCATCAGTACGCCTTCTTTCATCTCTTTTCTCTCTTCCCTTTTTTTCAGAGCTCGCGCGCTGCCAGCTTAGCCAGTCTCCATCAAGAGAGGCGTCCATTCGCTTTTTCGTATTTATTTTTCTAGTCAGCCGCCTCACATCGCATATTCGAATCAAGTAATCACTGAATGTCCGGTGTAGAGCCATCCAGAAGACCCCCTCTTGCTGGCAAACCACCATTTGCAACAGACGATCCAGACGAACTTTTCGACCAACCATCGCTTTCTAAGCGCCGTGTCCGTAAGCCAGCAGAACCTAATCCCAACGACCGCACTTCTGCCTATAACATGTACGTTCACACGCTTCGGTTTTTCAACTTGAGAAGAGTAGGCAGATAAACTGACTTACTCTGCAGGTACGATCAATATCTTGACGGTGAAGATTCCTCCAACCGTCAGTCTGGTTTCGGTGCAGTCGGCCTCGGTTTCATGACTGGGGACTTGAGTGACGATGAGGACGAGGAAGTCCTTATGCATAAGCCTCCTATGGTAACCGAGTCTAAGCATGGTGCTATGAACGCATCCCCGATACCCCTCGCTGCTCCACGTCCCGGTTATCCAGCACCCATCTCAGCACTCAATATACCATCTCCCGCTGCAACACCCGAAATGAGACAAACTGTCCAACACCCCCCCGTGCACCAGCCTCCACAGCCCATGCCAAATGCACTGCAAGTCAACCGCCCCCCAGCTGACATAAATATTCAACCACCACGTATGCCTGTCCCAATCTACGAGACTCCTTCCCCTCGTCCATCAGTTCCAAACACTCCGCATCCTCTCCAGCCTCCAATGACCCCAATCACTCCCGTCTTTGCTCGTCCCGCCAAGTTGCCCGCCCCAAGAAATATACAGTATGCAGGCGACACAATCATTCGTGGAGGCTCAGAGGACAACTTGGTGCCGAGACGTGGCCAGAAGGGAGATGACTTCTGGAGGAGGTTTAGCATCGTTGCGAAGGACGAGAAGAAGACGAGTTCTTGGTTGATAAAGACACAGAATGGGTCTTCAAAGTTGTCACGCTGGGTTTGGTTCATTGGGATAATGTTTCTAGTTGTATGTGCCTTCTTTATCTCTCCTGCCTCCTAACTCATCTATTGTTGTAGCTCATTGCTGCTGGTATCGGAATCGGCTGGTACATCTCTCATAAGTCAACATCGAATACGGTTCCAAAGGCTATCGGAGGCAGCGCCAATGAAACCATGAATCCCACCAGTACTCGTGCATCGATCGGGGTTTCTTCATCTTCATCATTGCACGTGTCGCCTACAAACACGGTTGCACGCCGTAACGAGGCCGAGCCCACACCTACTATCCGCGAGGCAGTGCAGGAGTTCTTGGAGGAGGTTGGCCAAGCTCCAGCGGCAAAATTAAACGTGCCTGCCGGACGGAGCTGGAAACATCGGCGCCGTGTCGAGATCCAGTTCTAAGCTGCGTCTCTCGCACTTCATTACATTCCAGGAACTCTCCATGATTTAGGGTTCATGCTCGGATCTTCATCTCGACAGTCTTTGCTTCTGGTTACTTACAAGCCTTAACCCGTGCTCCATTGTGAGGGTGCATCCGTAGGCGTGAGCGCCTGTTCGTTCGTTTAATCAATCTCATCACGGTACCAGCGTGATTCGGACCTGTACTTATCAGGTATCGCAGCTCGGTCTCGATCGCATTTTTAAAAACTCAAATATACATTCTTCACGTTCATCCAACGACTTTTTCTATTCAATCCACCTTTCATAACCTTTGATACCAGATAGATACATTGGCACATGACGATTGCTCGAGTACGAGAATCGAGGTTACCAGCCTGTATCATTCAGCCATGCTTGGGACTTCGGAAATAAATTTATTATACAATGGTTGTTTGTGTGTATTCTGATGCCCAGCATTGACATTATTATAGGGCACCCGCGTCAATGGGACTCAGTATGCAGGATGTAAAGAGTATGCTTCAAAAATAATCAAATTCGTAAGTAGCTTCCTTGTCACTGAGGCTGCTGAGAGGCCCTTCAACCACGCAACCTCTTCAATGGTCGATCCTCCTTGGACTTGAGCATGGATTGTGAAACCTTCATATCCTCGAGGATGTCCACCTCCACATCCGAATCGTTATCAGCTTGCCCGAGCTCTTCGCTCTCGCGTTTACGTTTCGCGTCCTCTTCCTTCGCCGCCCTTGAAGCCTTCCACTCTTTGGAAAGGATTTGAATCCGTTCAATGAGATCTTTCCGAGAGTGCTGTACCACATGCTCGTTCCAGTCGAGTTTGCGCTGTTCAGCAGGATATATTTTCTTACTCTTCAGAACACAGCCAATGTCAGAGTCAAAAAGCGAGAACTAGGCAAGATACGCACTTGATGGATGAGATTAAAGTAGTGAACAGGATTTGAAAGGAAGGTTTTAGCGAAATGTAGTAGGTAGACGCCGCAGTCGGCAAAATTGGGCTGGGATGGGACCTGTAATGGAGCGTTGAAAAGGGTCCTTTTTTGAAAAATGGGACTCCACACCTGCGCAAGCTTGACTTCAGCCAGTCTCACCTCGTCCAATTGTTGCTTGTCTTTTGCTTCAGCCTTTAGCCAATATCGCAATACCTTCTGTGCTTGAGGATGCCGTGAACCTAGGGAATCCAGCGTGAAGATCCAAGTACTGCAACGCATTATAAGCCGGTTACTAAAATGCAGATGCCGTAGGCTTACGTAAGAGGATCATTGGAAGTGGCGAGACTGGGTTGGACGTCCAACATAGCGTCTACTTCCCTTTCGTGCTTCTCGTCCTCATTACGTTCATCCTCCTCTTCGGAGTCCGGCACAACAACTGGCTCAACAGCCTTCTGCTTCCCCTTTGTCCTGGTAGAGGCTCCATAGAAGTGAGCCGCAGGGATACCCATACGAGATGGAGGTTTCGATGACGGAACGCTTAGTGGCTCAGAAACATGTGTTGAAGTTGACGCATTGGAAGATGGAAGATTATCCTTTGGCCCGGTCCCCTCTGGGATCGTGTCGATGTCGATAACAGTGACGTCAACATCCATCGGTTCCAGACATGGAGAAGACGTCGATAAGTGTAAGTCTACATGTGCTTCGACAGATATCGATCTCCCTGAGGCCTTGCCAACAGAGGCAGACCTGCCTTGTGTAGATATAGAATTGGATGGTGAAACCCTGAGTAGTTTCGGAGGAAGGTGGCTAGATATTGAACATGACTGTGTGAATTCCACAGGTGAGATGTCATCCATGTCTTCATCTTGCGTAATACTTGGCGTGGACGCGCAAGTAGCGTGCAGTGAGGCCGATTCAGCGTCTGGCTCTGATCGTGTTCCTAGTGCTGGTAGGTCCTGGGGTGGTACAGCCTCAGGCTCAGTTGCAGGAATTACGTCTGGCTCGGCAGCAGTCTTTCGCCGCAGCTTTGCTCGTTGTGAAAGAGAAGGTTCTTTCTGAGGAAGGGGTGGGAGAAGAGTGTACTCGGGTTCATAGATAATGGCAAGGTACCAGTGAAGACTTTTAGAACGGTGTCAGGAAGGGTCGACCCCGTTAAGGACATACTCACTTCTCGTTAATCGGGACAATTATGTATTTCTTTGAGAATATATTAACCCTGGACGTCCATTTCTTCACGCTTTGGTATCCTTCATCCAAGCTTCAGGCAAGGTGTGTAATTTCGGAACTTTACAATGAAACCGATGAAACTTGCCTTTTCTTGTTGTTGAGCTTCTTATAGAAGAACGAACTGAAGACGTGAATTTGTTCCGCAAGATCCGGATTTTGCTCCTTAAGATCAGCGAGCCAAAGCCTGCATATATATTAGCATCACGCTCAATAAATGGCAGGTGACCGTACTTTAAGCCAAACTCTATCAATGTATCATTGAGGAACTCGTGCGGTCTGAGCCTGTTCAAATCGCTGCCCATGACATTCAATGCGCCAGGACCAGATGGGGGATATACGAGAATTCTAGTAAAACAAATAAGAAATGAAACAAAGTACTAATGATAAAAGAGTCGCACAGTTCTTCAGGATCTGCTATGGGAGGTGATTCTGACGGAGTTTGGGGTACTGCAGCAGCAGAGCGCCGCGATGAACGGCGCCGCGATGTACCGGCCTCGGCGTTTGCTGATTTACTATGAAGATTGTGGGGTCACCGACTAAATTTGAAGCAGTCACAAAGTAACCTACATATCAGGTGCCAGGCACGATCCAGAATTGATTGTGGAGCTAAACACATCTGGCACAGAGGATGCATTCTTGATGGTGGAGGCCATCGGCTCGTAGCGAGAATTAGACGAACGACGACTTTGCTGTTGAAACATCTCTGCAGACTGCTGGACTTGCCCCCATAGTGCGCCCGTTGGTCTGTTTTCAATCAGGCAAGTTCTCCTTAGGTGGTCAATGGCTTCGTACCTCGCAGTGCTTTGTGCAGATGCTGCTTTAGCCAGGCGAAAGCGTAGGTTCTGATATATCGTTTGCGTCCATCCTTTGGCTTCGTCCGTACTAAACCAGAACGTCAGGCTCCCGCGTCCGCGACTCAGTCCTGGGCGCAGCGGTTCAGCGCATAGCACACCCATCATAATGGTACACGCACCAGGTTCAAACTCATCCATTGCATTTCCGTTTTCACAGATTTCGCAGTCTTTCGCCGTCTGTAGCTGTATGACTACGTTGTCTTTCAAGGATTTCTCTTCGTCAACTGTGACCTAATCAATATTAGCACAAGTGCCACATAATTTATGTTGGGGACGTACTGTTACGCTTTCAAACACATTGGTTTGTTGAAACCAGAAAGATGGAGACTGTCCAGGTACAGCCACATTGAGACGTCTGGTCTTTGGATCATACTCAAAGACAGGGGGCTCGGAACCATTTTCGGCACTGAAGATTTTGAAACCGATTGCCCATGCTTGCAAAGGGAGCTTCAGGGGAGGGTCCTTTGTGCGAGGAAGTTCCTTAGATGTGAATTGCGTGGATGACGTCGTAATATGATCAAGCTGTGATCGAGACGTTGGGACAGACTGATTGAAGGTGTGAGTCATTACAAAGAAAACACAATGATGTTGAACCTTAGTTGTTTTTTTCGGTTTCATTTGCTTCACAACTCCAGCGCCGCCACTGAGTGCATTCTGTATCCGTAAATCCACGAGTGGAAATTTATGTTCGAATACTTTTCGAGTATCGCGGACAATAAATTCCGGTATGGGCGTAACTATTGCAGCTCGCTGTGATTGAGGTTTCGGAGGAAGCGAAGGCTGGCTGTTGCCTGCCTCTGACGAAAATTCTTCAATATCATCAGCTTCATCAGACACAACCGTAGTGCAGGGTCGTGTGGTCGGAGAGGAATCCTTTCCTTTGCCCTTCCTGGAGTCAGCATATTGTGGGTCACCTGGAAAGGTCTGGAAAGGATGAAGATTCATGGGGTCTGGTGAAGATGATAAAGGATGAGGACGAGGTACAGGTACACCAAGATCTTCTCCATCTGAAATTACTTGAGCCTCTCGACCAAAGGGATGCCTGTGGTGCGCAGGCGTACTTTTCATTCCATGAGGTCGGTCGATGATTTGTACCTCGGGATCTGATTGCCCTGTATGTCTTATGGAAGCGCGGGTGTTGTTCGTGGAACTCGAATTGGTGATCCGTTTAGCAAGGGTACTGGAGGGTGTGTGATCAAGTTTGGAGTGCTTGGATTCTTGTGGCAATGATGGTCGTGCGGGGGTATCAAGAAGCGTTCGACGCGCATTCGGATTTGTTCGGAGACTGTTGCCGTTGGAGATTTGATCGTAGGGGCTCGCTGCTGGCCCGAGGCGTGTGTTACGCTACATGACAGTGAGAGGATTACCACCAAAGTTGGATCTGATGGGTATCAGCTAACTCACTGTATTTGATGGGGCGGTTATTGGAGTAGGTGAATTTTTCCATGTACCTCTTCTACATAGCTTCATTCAGAATGATCTAGCGAAGTTAAGAATCAGACGTACGAATTACTTAGACCAGATGCATCTCGGTAGTGGGACGGCCCTGCAGTGCCATGCAAACTGTTGGCCTTTTGTCTTTGAGAAGCTGAAAACTCCATTTGCGCCCCTTACAGCGCAGCGGATAGCACTTCGTCGCGTGCCGGGGAGAACAAGAAGACGACTAGCTCGCGGTGGCTGCAAGACCCTTCGCTTACCCAGATTGAGCTCAATGTTCGATTGTTCACTTGCTCGTGTAGTCCTAGTTAGGCAATTTACTCAGACCTTGACACACGAAGCAAACACGGAGGAACCTGGAGGGAATCCTTTTTATTTTGGCTCATCGCGAGTGCCTACTTACCTGCCACACTAATCCTTCTGTTTCTACTTGAACGATATACCTACTAAGCAGAACAAAATATACGCCTTTACTTAGAACTAGATGACTTTCCGCACTCAAGTCATGCTTTCGTAAAAGTGTCGATGAGAAATTTCTCCC